GTTCCCAGAAGCAGAGTGGTCAGGTTTCCTTAAAAAATGTGCAGAGATTGTGTTTCTGGAGTTGAGGGCTCAAGTCGAAAGCAAACAAAAATACCACAGAACATATAACAATTTGTTTTTTGAAGGATTTCTGATTCTGAATTTGGTTTCAATTCTCTTAAATACATATTGAACTTCTCATAGAACATGGCACTTTAAAAACAAACATATTATTGCAAAAACCTCATTTGTGGCTGTTCAAAGAATTTGGGTGATAAACTCTTTATTTGTTACCTCTAAGTTAATCTGCAGGGGCACTTTGGCCATACATACAGATCGGAGTAGAAAGACCATTTCTTTTCTTTCTTTCTTTTTTTTTTTTGAGGAAGATTGGCCCTGTGCTAACTGCTGCCAGTCCTCCTCTTTTTGCTGAGGAAGACCGGCCCTGAGCTAACATCCATGCCTATCTTCCTCTACTTTATACGTGGGACGCCTACCACAGCATGGCTTGCCAACCGGTGCCATGTCCGCACCTAGGATCCAAACCAGCCAACCCTGGGCCGCCGAAGTGGAACGTGCGCACTTAACCACTGCGCCACCGGGCCTGCCCCATCAGTTTCTGAAATAATCCAACTGGCTGGTGGTAGAAACCGTGGAGGTAAAGACTGGCTTGTGCTTATTGCTCTTCTCAACACTGCCTTCCTCTGTGCCGGGACATAATTATTGTTCAGTTCAGGGAACTTAAATAATCTCGTGGTGTCAGGGTGCCATGAGTAGCCCGCAGCCTGGCCCTGGTATGTCTGGGTCTCCTCTGGTCTGCCGAATGCCCATCTCTTTCGTAAGCACTGTGGGGACACCACACTCTCCGCGAGGAATGTAAGTTCTAGCAGGGGGAGATGAATAGAGAATAGAACTGCGCGGTCTGTCCGCACAGTCTTCTAAGCCTGCAGGTGTGTGGGTGGGTTTATTGGGAAAGGCTTCTCAGGGAAGGTGGTCGCGTGCGTCAGCTTCCACGGACAGGTGACCGCATCGGGCCACTTCAGCGATTACTCGGTTCCCCAAACCTCTGTTTGCTGGCAGAATGGAGCCGGATTTGGAACAGGGAGGAGAGAAGGGGGTGGTCTGGTGGCCAGGACCCAGCATGTGGGATCAGCGAGGGTGGGTGCTGGTGCTCAGGCACGGCTTTCGTCTGCTTGCCCTTGTTTTTCTAAAAACAATTTTTCCCCTGAGGATTTCAGAAATCTGTGCAGAGGACTGGGGACTTTATGAGGGTTTACTTATTTTACGTAACTGCCTGGGTTCTTTCCTTCTGTTTTTCATTCATTCTTTTCTTTTCTCCATAGAAAATTTCTAGTCCAGTTTATTTCTTCATTCCCTCCTTTTCTTTAATCAAACTCTCTTCAGTTGCTGTTATGTGCTAGGCATTGGGAATACTGAAATAAGCAAGGCGGGACCCCTTCCATGAAAATGAGCACAGCTTGATAGAAGGAACAGACCTGTGAATACATGATGCGTGTGACCAGCGTCTGACAGGACTGCATGCTGTCTCTGGCCGTGTCGAGGCGCAGCCACACCATGTACCCCATGTGAGGGTCGGAGCAGGCTTTCTGGTCACCTGGGCAGAATTTTGGAGGACAGTCCTGTTTAGCTATGAGAAAAAAACCCCCTCCCCCGAAAGACAGCGTTCAGCGGCCACACCTGAGTGGCTGGTAGGGACGACTGGAGCAGGACTGCCAAGGGGCTTTGTGGCTCCTTCCCCCTTTAAAACAAAAGAAAAAGGAGAGAGAAGAAAGACAGCTGTCTTCTGAGTAAACCTCTTGCCAGAGAGAGGTGTCTGTCCGTTGTGTCTTGTGGGGCTCAGCTTTTAGTGCGAAATGCAGGACTTGTGAACTTCAGCTTTGTCTGGATAACTGAACCTATTTCCATTTATTTAACACTCTAATCACGGAAAAGAGCTCAAGGTTCCTGAATGCCTCTTCTGGGAGAAGTGCTGGGCTGGGTGCTGCACATTGGCTTCATCTTGGAGTTTTCTCAGTGCCCCTAGGCGTCCTTTTGTGCACGTCCTGGAGGAGCGAGTCAGGCTCCAAGTCTCCATTGCTCACCTCACATGTGTAGCATGTCATTGAATTGGGGTTTAAACCCCATTTCTGTTTGACACAAAAGCCCAGGAGTTTTCCATTGTATTATACTCTTTCCCTAGAGAAAAGGCAAAATCTTGTCCTTAAATAAAAATTTGTCTCACCAACTGAAGATTGAATAAACACATTGGGGAGGTGAGGCCTACATACCTGTTACAGAAGAAGCCACCGTGAAAGCAGCGAGGCCAGAGCAGCTGGGAGAGCAGCTGACACCCTCCCTTCCAGACGTGGAAGGCGGGGGTCAGTGAGTGGATGTCACCTTTGGGTGTGCTTTCACCCCTCAGAATCAACAACGAGAAAAACATGGCGGCAAGCTCGCTGGGTTTTTTCTTTCCTTTTATCCTGTTTTAGTCTCAAGTGTGGACATCCCTCCATTGTTTTTTCATAAAACAGCTGAGCAGCAAAATGGCTGGAAACACTATCCTGGTCTCCTGTCGGTTCTGGCTGGAATCCCGGGACCAGTGGAAGCCAAGACCATTTGGATATGTCTGCTGAGATCATGTTGCAGAATTACTGCACAGATATCTGGGACCGGGGCATTCCATTTCTGCCCAGAAGGCGCTTGGGTTGAACTCAAAGCACAATTTCGTTTCAAAAAGAATAGAAGACATTTTGAAAGATTTGCCTGCTAACTTTTCCATTGCAAGAATGTAAGTTGCACCAACCTGGGGACCTTGTCTGTTTTGTTTACTGCTTATGCCCGGCCAGCAGAACCACGCCCAGCTCATTGTAGGAGCTCAGTGACAATGGAAGGGACGGTGGCTGAGCGCAGGGGAGGCTGTGAACAGCGTGGTGCCGAGGATCGATAGTGACACACTGCCGATCCCCACACCTCTCAGTCCAGGCCGGGTCATTTTCTGAGCTCTCAGCGTTAAGTCATAAGGAGGCTCACAGTAGTGACAATGTCCATGATGCTAGCGGCCGCCGGGTTTTGAATGTACGTATGCCAGATGCTGGCGGAGGCATTTTGCATGTAGGGTCTCATTTTCTCTTAACTGTAGTTAAATAGCAAGACAGATCATCTTCACACTCTGTCCTTTGCTAGCGAGGAAACTGAGGCACAGAGAGGTGACAACTTTGAGCTAGTGACGGTTGTTCTTGCCTCACAGTTCACTGAGCAGATAGAGTTGGTCAGACAGGAGCGTTCGCAAACTCCCACCACCAGGTGTGTTTCTGCATCCTCCCCTGCCCTCTCTGGATCCCGGTCCCCTCTGCTGTCTCTGAAAATCTGAAAAGTCTTCCTTTGCTCATCTCCTCCCTAGGTGTCCCCTCCAGTCATGTCCCTGCCCCCCAAACTCTCCGCCTCCCTTACAAGAACCTTGTCAGAAGCCTCATGTGTCGGACGCCCTCCCAGCCCTACCTCCTCCTCCCTTCTCCCTGGACGTGCGCTCTCCTGGTGTGCTGCCTGCTCCCCCGTCCGTTCCAGCTCAGACTCTCACCAGCCTCGCCCCTCTGAGTCTACTCCCGTGCGGACCGGCTCTGCGTCTTCCTCTTGGCTCTCCATCTGCTCTGTCTCGCCGTCCGCCCACCGACTCCCCCATCCTTGGTGATGCCGTGAGCGTCAGCTCTTTGCCAGGAACTCTCTAGTTTTTTCTAGCTCTGACTGGAAATTTGCCCTTGCCTCCAAACTTATCCACCTCACTTCTCTTCCACCCGACCTGTCTCTCTCCGTCTCCTGCATCTGAATCAGCAGCGTCACTGTCACTGAGGACAGAGCCCCAGGAGTCATCTTGGAGTTGGCCGTTTCTCTCAAGCCCCTATCTTGTCCATCAGCAGGGCGTGTGGCTTCTTCCTCTGGAATCCGTCCTGAAGCCGTTCACTTCTCTCTGTCTCCCTGCGGTCGCTCCAGCCTGCACGGCCACCGTCTTTCATGTGAACCGCTGCAGCGGTGGCCTCTAACCCATTTTCCTGTACTTCTTTCTTACTCCTGTGTCGCTGCGTCTTCCCACCGCAGTGAGCGCCGTCTGCCGGCTGTGATGACAGGGCGCTCGGGCGTTTTAGGCGCTGCTTCAGGCGTTTACTGTTAGAAGGTGGGACTGCTGCCTCTGCACTTCCACATGGGGACTGCAGCACGGGCCGTTAACTAACACGCCCAGAGTTACGGCCAGGATGAAAACACAGACAGCCAGGCTCTGGAGCCTGTCCTCCTGACTTCTGTGCTATGCTGCTTCCAGAAAGTGACTCCTGTCACTCCTGTCCTTGAGGAGCTCTTGAGGTTGCTCATTGCGCTTATGTGAAATCCAGCCTCCTCGCTGGGCCTGAAGGCACTATGTGGCCTGGCTCCTGCTGGCCTCTCCTACCCCATCTCCTGCTTCACACAGCACTCTGGGTTGTCCTTCCCACCTCACATCCGCCACAGGGCCTTTGCACCAGTGGTTCCCCCTGCCTAGGACTGTTTCCAGCAGTTCTTCGTGTGGCCGGGTCCTTCTGGCTCTTCAGCTCGCAGCTTAAATGTCATCCCAGTAAGGGCTCTCTTGATCTAAATCAGCCACCCCGTTTTTGTTAAAGGCCACCTTTTGTTCTTCGCAGCACTTACTGCTGTCTTACGTTGCTTACCTTCATTGAAGGGAGATGGTCCTTGTCTACAGTGCTATCTGCATTGGCTGGAATGGAAGCCCCAGGAGAGCAGGACAGTTGTGTGTGCTGTTCCCCCCGTATCCCAGAACCTGTGTCAGTGCCCGGGCTGAACAGACCTGTGCTGAAGGAATGAGTGATGAGGGAGTGAATGAAAATGAGCGTCTGGCATCCTGGAGCTGAAAGCCGGGTGCGTCGATCCGACGGGTTTCCTACCACAGCAGCTCCTGTCGGTGCACCTCGGGCGCGCGTCCCTGATGCGGGGCCTCTGCCTCTGCGCGCACTCAGAAGTGTCTGCACTCACTCCAGGTGATCAGAGAAGTCTACAGCGGCTGCAGTGGGCCCGCGGACCCGGAATGTCCCCCGCCGTCCAGCTCCCCGGTGCACAAGGCAGAACTGGAGAAGGTAAGGGGCCTGTTTCTTTCTGGGAATAGTAACCTTAGGCCTCCCTCAAAGTTTCGACAACATTCTCTGAGAATTTTAGCACTGCTAGTTGGAAAAAAGAAAAAGAAAAAAGCATGTAATCCTGCTTCCTGTGCATTTCCAGGGCCTACTGTGTGCGAAGCTTGAGTTTGTCCTTGTACAGACTGCATGTTAGTTTCATTATTCCCAGCTGTAGATGCAGGAGGGGGTTTGAATGGGCTAATGGATTGAAGGTGTTCAAGGTCCCCTGCTGTGACATGGCAGAGTTGAAATCTGCACCAGGTCTGTGGACTCCTGGAATACAGCAGGCGCTGCATAAGTATACTTGCCCAAAGGTTTATTCCCAGCAGCCCAGGTACTGGTCCCCCTCTGCTTGGTGCTCATTTGCTTGTTGGAAGGCACAATGAGAGCACAGCAGTGCGGGGTGGGAGGGGGTGCGGGGATGAGCCCTTCTTGCCAGAAGTGTATAAACCCATCACTGTCATGCCACACGCCCAGCTCTCACTGCTCGTGCTTTGTCTGGACGTGCGAGTTCCCGTTTCCCTGGAGAGCCCTGGCCTCCTGCCGCGCAGTTCTGTAGGCGGCCTGTGTGCTAGGACCTTTCTCAGTCCTCCGTTTAGCACCCTCCACCGATAAACAGATCCTTCTTTGTCTGTTTTTGTTTTAGTCAGGGTTCTCCAGAGAAACAGAACCAATGGGGTGGGGGGGGATGTGTGTGTGTATAATATATGTGTGTATGCATATACATTTTATATGTTATAAAATATAAACATAAAATGTATTATAAGATGATGTACTTATGTATATATAGATATAAACACACATACATGTACATATATCTATATGCACATACACACACACACACACACACATATATGTATGTGAAGAGATTTATTATAGGGAATTGGTTCCTATGATTATGGATGCTGGCAAGTCCGAAATCTGCAGTGTGGGCCTGCACGCTGGAGACCCAGGAGAGTCGCTGGTGCGGATGGAGTCTGAAGGCAGTCTTCCGAAGAATTCCCTCTTGCTCACAGAGGCTGCTCTTTTAGTTCTGTTCAGATCCTCAACTGATTGGGTGAGGCCCACACGCAGTAGGGAGTTCAGTCTGCTTACTCAGACACAGTCCACCAATTTAAATGTTAGTCCATCTACAGCCCGCTCTGAGCTGACACATGCGGGGAGCCTCACAGCCCTCATTCTGACATTGTGACATAGCGGCCTTGCTGCCTTTTGTCCTGGTTATAAAACTAATACCTGCTCAGTGTAGGAAATTGAGACAGTTGGGAGAAACAGAAGTAAGAGGAATAATGTCTCTCAGGAGTCAGCCGCCTAGATGAGGCCACTCCTCTCGACACTCTGCATGTCTTTAGTTTTTTCCTATTCACGTGTTTCTCTGTAGTTTAGATAATCTGACGCATAGAATTTCTTGTGCTGCTTTTTTTCACCTACCTATATATTATTAACAATTTTCTAGGTTTTGAAAACTCATAACAAATAACAAGCATTTTGGCATTTTCATCAGCTGACTAATAGCAAATTTGTATGACTCTAATATCTTTTGTGTTACTCCTCCCCCACCCCAGTCTGGCTCTTTTTCTTTTTAGGCAGTTTAAAATAACATGGTATTTGGCGTCTTTCACATAAGTCTTTGCTGCTTCTCTGACTGTCACCCGAGAATAGACTCCTGAAAGCTGGATTACTTCATTACCAAAGGATAGAATTCTTTTTACAGGTTTTGATTCATGTTGCCTAGCAAATTGCTTCGCAGAAGGTTGGTCCTGCTTCCCATCCCAAGAGCCTGGCATCAGAGCCCCTCCTCACCGTTCCTTATCTTTGGTTTCTCAGGCTGTGCTGTGAGTGCCTGGCTGGACCTCCTGGCCTGGGTCCCAGGGGTGCTCCCTGGCGTGAGAGCTGGGGCAGCCTGGCTTTCGGTCGTTCCTTGCTGGAACTTGGCACACACCAGTTTCCAGTAAAGGCCATAATTCCTTCACTGCGGCTTTGCCCCCGCCCCCTGCCCTACAGGACTGCAGGCACCTGTCTCTGTCTGCCAGCCTGGCCAGCATTGCCTGGACCTCTCCTTGCAAGAGGAGCGTGTGTGTCCCCTGTGTCCTGGTATTGTCCAGATGTTTTGTTTGCCTCCTGACTGGCCATCTCTGTGGCACTGGGGTGTAATATCCCTGACTCCACAGGTGTTCTGGTTGCAATGGGGGGATTCCAGCTCTACACTCTCTTGTTCAGATACTCGCTTTCAGTCCTAATCATGCTCCTCACATCCAGATGTTAGGACTGAAATAATTACCAGGATTCCAGTGTTTCTCTGTGTGTGCATTCTGAGTGTATGTCACAATGGTTCTCTGTGTGTGCATTCTGAGTGTATGTGTTACAGTGTTTCTCTGTGTGCATTCTGAGTGTATGTGTTACAGTGTTTCTCTGTGTGCATTCTGAGTGTGTCACAATGGTTCTCTGTGTGTGCATTCTGAGTGTATGTGTTACAGTGTTTGTGTGCATTCTGAGTGTATGTGTTACAGTGTTTCTCTGTGTGCATTCTGAGTGTGTCACAATGGTTCTCTGTGTGCATTCTGAGTGTATGTGTTACAGTGTTTCTCTGTGCATTCTGAGTATATGTGTTATAGTGTTTCTCTGTGTGCATTCTGAGTGTATGTATTATAGTGTTTCTCTATGTGTGCATTTTGAGTGTACGTGTTAGTGTTTCTCTGTGTGCATTCTGAGTGTATGTGTTACAGTGTTTCTCTGTGCATTCTGAGTATATGTATTATAGTGTTTCTCTATGTGTGCATTCTGAGTGTATGTGTTAGTGTTTCCGTGTGCATTCTGAGTGTATTGTTACAGTGTTTCTCTGTGTGTGCATTCTGAGTGTATGTTACAATGTTTATGTGTATATTCTGAGTGTATTTGTTATGAGCAGATGTTTGATACTTGCCCAATTATTGGTGAATGATGGAAGGAAATTAAATGGACGACGGTATTTATTTCTGGAAGGATAACGTGGCTTGGTGTGAGGGAAATATTTTTTTAATCCTAATATTTTTTCAAAATTATTTACGAGAAAAAGTGATTTGAATGAAATAGGTATGGTACTATCCATGTGTTAGTATAACCTCAGTGAGTTTTTCCTTTGTTCTTTTGATGTTTTTCAAGCTCTTGTAACAAGCCAACCAGCTAGTCTGTGTTATGGTTGGGCCCTAACTGTCTCTGGATTGTTGTGAATTTGGCCCACACTTTCTTTCACTTTGGGATAACTTTTCAATGATCTGTGATACCATTGCCAGTGTGACCATTGTCAGAATAGCTTAATCCTTTTTATCTTACAGAAACTGTCTTCAGAGAGACCAAGCTCAGATGGAGAGGGTGTTATAGAAAATGGAATTACGATGTGTAATGGAAAAGAACAAGGTGAGTTCTGCTCATGGCCAAAATATATAAACTAAACAAACAGACAAAGCCCACGTCACCCGACCGTGGGCTGCCAGAGATGCAGGGAAGGCCTTCGATCGATACAAGCCCCACAGGTCTCCACGTGCCCTCCCACCCAGCCTTGGCCAAGCCTTCTTCCGATTGTCTTGATATGTGCCCTGCATGTATTTTAAATGTGTGCCTCACTGCAGGTTGTTTCTAACTGGATTTATCGCTGAGATGAGTGCAGTGGGGGCTGCAGGCATCCTGCCGGGAGACGGGATTCCCAGGCGATGAGACAGGACACCTGCATTGCCAGCCCGGCTCTGCCTTTACTTTGCCATGAGACCAGGAGCAGGCTCCCCCCGGATCCCCACTTTCTTCCTCTTGAAAGTGAGAAGGCCAGACTCGAAGATTTCTGGTCCTTTTAAAAAAGATTTTCTGGAAATGTCTTTATTTCACTTTCATTTAAAAAAAATTTTTTTTCAGTTGTGGTAAAATATACGTAACATAAAATTTACCATTGTAGCCATTTTTAAGTGTCCAATTTAGCAGCGTTAAGCACATTCACTTTGTTGTGCAGCCTTCACCACCAGTGATCTCCGGAGCTCTTTTCATCTTGTAAAACTGAGCCTCTGTCCCCATTAAACAACAGCTCCCCATTCCCTGCCCCCAGCCCCTGACAGCCACCATCCTATTTTATGTCTTGAATTTTTAACAAGTCTAGGAACCTCAAATAAGTGGAATCGTACAGGATTTATTCTTTTGTGATTGGCTTATTTCACTCAGCATAATGTTCTCAAGGTTTGTCTGCATTGTAGCTTATGTCAGAATTTCCTTCCTTTTCAGGGCTGAATAATATTCCACTCTATGTGTATATAACATCTTGTTATCCATTTATCCATTGATGGAGACTTGGGTTTCTTCCTCTTGGCTATTGTGAATAAGGCTACTATGAACATGGGTGTACAGATGTTAAATTCTTTTTTTTCCCTTAAAGATTGGCACCTGAGCTAACATCTGTTGCCAATTTTCCTTGTTTTTTTTTCTTCTCCCCAAAGCCCCCCAGTACATAGTTGTGTATTCTAGTTGTAGGTCCTTCTGGCTCTGCTATGTGGGATGCCGCCTCAGCATGGCCTGATGAGTGGTGCTGGGTCCATGCCCAGGATCCGAACCAGTGAAACCCTGGGCCGCTGAAGCGGAGCCCATGAACTTAACCACTTGGCCACAGGGCCAACCCCCTAAATTCTTTTTTTAAAGTCAGCTTTATAGCGGTATAAATTACATACAGTAACATTCCCGTTTTGGCATACAGTTCTTTGAGTTATAACAGACACTTGCAGGTGTGTAACTCTCACCACAATCAAGATGTATAACATTTCTATCACTCCAAATTGTCCCTTTGTGCCCTTGGCAACCACTGACCTGTTTTCCGTCCTTTACCAGGACATCCTATAAGTGGAATCATATAGTACGCAGCCTTTGGGGTCTGGCTTCTTTCACTTAGCACGTGCGCTGGAGATGTCCCTGATGTAGCGAGCATCAGCGCCCTGTTCCTTTCACGTGGCTGAGCAGTGTTCAGTGTGTGAATGCAGCTCAGTTAGGCTAACCGTTTGCCTATTGAAGGACAACTGGGTTGCTTCCAGATTTGAGCGATTGTCAATGAAGCTGTTCCAGACATTCGCAAAGAGGTGTTTGTGTGAACACGTTTTGATTTCTCTTGGATAAATACCCAGGAGTGGGATTCCTCTGTCTCATGCATTCGTGTGCACTCTCACCAGCCTTAGTATTGCTGTTTCTGCTTTGTTTTGTTCTTTTTATTTTGGCCATTTTAATAGGTGCGTAATGCTATGTAATTGTGGCTTTAACTTGCATTTTCTTAGTAACTAACGACATTGAACTTTTTTTAATGTGCTAATTTGCCACCCATGTATCATCTTTGGTGAAATGTCTATTCAAATATTTTACCCATATTTTTGTTGGAGTTTTTGTTCTGATTATTGACTTCCCAGAGTTCTTTATCTGTTCTGAATACGAGCTCTTTACCAGACGTGTTTGGCACGTCTCTTCCTGCCCAGTGTGTGGGCTGAGAGGAGGCATGGATTGGTGCGTAGGGGGACATTTTCCCTGTGCAAAGCCAGCCGCCGACGTGCTTGTTGAACCTGTGACCTCGGCTGCCCTGGTGAGCAGTCTGACCCCCAGCTAACCTGCGTTCCGTCGCTGCTGTGGGATGGGCATCTCCTAGTTCTGAAATGAAGTCACCTTAAACCAAATAGCAATCCAGGCCATTAAGAATCTTGGAACCCACATAATCTACACTATTGTGATATTACAAGGTTCATGCCAAAAGGTCATGATCTCTGCCTTGCCTGTGTCATTTTCTAGCTCAGTCGTGTCTGAGTGTAATTTTAGTTCTCTCCATCGGAAGTTGTTCAGTGGAAGGTATTATCTGTGTCTTCCACAGGGCACATTATGTGTAATCAGAGCCGGGACAGCTCTCTTTAAGTTTTGCCCTGAAATAGAATAACATACAATCTCGGGGCTCCTGCGGAGATGTTGGGCATGGCAGACGTTGCTCTGGTTCGTCTCTTTTCTCATCTGCTATTTCTTCTCCCAGTGTCCCTGTATAAAATTAGGTTCTACAGAAACATATGTATGTCTGGATGTACATATAAGCGAGTACATCGTATCTAAGATTCTCCTGTTTCCTTTTAAAAAGAGCAGCCTTCTCCACCTTGTAAATTGACCTTGGTTCAGACATTTTTTTGCCTGGCTGGTGCTTTGCATACAGCAGACACTCAATGAACAGTTACTGAAGGAAGTTAATCGTTTAAATACATTCCGACCTTCGAGCTTACCTCTTATTCTTGCTGCTCACTCTTGACCCATTTGCACTTGAGAGATTTCAGCAAAGCTCCCTTTATCCCGGCCATGTTGTGACTCAGACAAATTTCTCCGCTGGCTGCAGAGAGAAAATCCTGAACTCATACAGCTTCTCCGAAATGTCAAACTTTTAGTTGAACAGAGAAGCAATCCCGACTCCATGTGGCTGGGGCCGCAGAATGACTCTCAAACTCCTGTTTCTTCTTTCAAGGAGACAATCCCTAGTATTTAACAGACCAATACAGTATGATTTTTGGTGATTTAGTTCACGTTTTGTTGATACTGTAGCTGATGTGTGAAGAGAGAATTAAGATCCTGGCACCAATCTATGTGGAAGCTACGATTGTCCCCAACTAGCATTGCACACATTTAAGATTTAATCATGTTAATGGATCCATTGGTAGATTTATTAAATAGTCTGATAATATTAACCCCGTGTCCTTATTTCCCCCACTAGCCTAAATAAAAAACATCCAGACTCCCATTTATGTAGGATGATAGGGAACTGTCTGGGTTTATGATATTTACAGCTTTAAAAATGCTGAGAGTTAGCTTGGCTTCCTTGTCAGTCCTTCACCACCCCCCAATGTGGACAGAATGTGCGGCTCGGACTCTGCACCTTTTTTACTTTCTAACTTTAGTGAGTTGAGAGTTCTGAGTTTTTAGGTTTTTCTTCATAATTCTAGTATATGTGCTGAATTCTGCCTTTTGTTTAATACATAGCATCAACATATTCTTGGTGGTTTCTGTGTCATGTTTCTACTTACTTTGGCTTTCTTTTCCAAGGACTACCTCACTTCTGCTTTTGCAAAAAACTAATCAGTGGGCATTTAAGGAATTAAAAGTATTTATTTTCTCTTTTCTTCATAGTTAGAGTCCAGTAAGTACTTTCCTAGTAGAATTGGGAGTAAATCTCACGACCCAGCCCATCTCACTCCTTTAATTTGAGATCAAGGAAGAACTGACTTGTGTTCCCTGAGCTTTGCAAAAGGGTGCCTTCTGGGCACTGATTGTCCTCACTGGCCGTGTCTTCTCTATAAAGCTCAGCTGGGATGGGACTATGGTCAAAGCTCGTCTTCAGGCTCCTTAGAAACAGCTAAGAGGGGTCATCCATTGTTGCTTTCACTTTTGGTGTGGTTGAACTAAATCAGAATGATACGGCCATCCCCGCCACAGACCCGTGTCTCAGGGTAAGAGAGCCAGAGGGAGGTGCCTTCAGACTAAGGGATTAGAAGAGATTCTCGGCGCTTTGTTTTGAAGGAGGGTGTGTGTGTTGGGAGAGTGTGAGGAGGGGGTGGGAGTGGCGTTCGTGTGTTCCATGTTTCTAATCTCACATGAGCCCTGAATCTGATTTATTTAAAATAGCACGAAAGTGCTTGATCTGTGTTGTATTAGTCAGTTCAGGCTGCCCTGACAAGATGCCACGGACTGGGTGCCTTAAACGACAGACATTGATTCCTCATCGTTCTGGAGGCCAGAAGCCCGAGGCCCATTGCTGGCAGGGTTCCTGGTGAGGACTCTCCTACTGGCTTGTAGGCGGCCAGCTCCTTGAGTGTCCTCACATGGCCTCTCCTCTGTGCTCGGAGTCTCTTCTTAGGAGGACACCGATCCTGTCAATCAGGGCCCCACCCTGATGACCTCATTTAACCTTCATTCCTTCCCTAGGGGCCCCGGCACCCAATACAGCCACCCTGGGCTTTAGTGCTTTAACCGACGAGTTCTGGGGAGACACAAATGTTCAGTCTGTAACACTGTTTACCCTGAACACAGCTTCCTAACAGCGTCTTTTTAAACTGTAACGTAGCCCCTCTTGCCTGAGACATCGTTAACTGTCATTTCTTTCTGGAGAAGAAATAAGAGTTAAAACAGTGACCAATGTGATGGGATCTCACTGAGTTCAGGGGGGTGGTGAGGAGAGCGGAGAGCAGAGATGAGGCGGGCGACGTGTGGGCCGATACGGCGTGGCGCCATTCAGCTGGGCGTGGTGCTGGTGGCAGAGTGGAAATAGAAGAGGGGCCCAGCTCCCTGTTCCCCAGAGAGGCAGACGTGGGGGAGAGAGGAGGAAATGTGTGTGAGCGTATACGTTTCTAGCACGAGGAATTAGGCCTGTAGTTTGTGTCTCGCGTGCCTGAGCCTCTTTCTCTGAAGTGATCTTTGTGATGTTTTGTGTGTGTGTGTTCTTGTGTTCATGCGGGGAGGAGGAGTGGAGGGAATCTTGACCTTCATTACATTTTCAAAAGGGTTTGTGGCCCCTGTAGGTTACAGACAGAGGGCTGAGGGATCATCCTGGAGGTGACTGGGAAAGGGTTGTTGGGGGCACTGTGGAGTCCCTCAGGGCTCTCTTGGATCCTGTGGGCTCTCCCAGCATGTCCCATGCCCGGTGAAGCTGTACTTGACCCCCTGCGGCTCAGTGTCCTATGAGGCCTCTGGAAAGGTGCCCTTTGCCCTTGGCTCGAGCACTAGGCACGTAAGATGCCCCAGGTGACTGGATGAGCAGACAGCTCGCCTTTCCTGAGAGGTGCTCTGGTGGGAAGGTCTTCTCCCTCAGTCCTAGATGTGTTCTCACGTGTGCGTTCTGATTCCTTGCTCCATCCTGCCCCTGTAATTCACGGGAGTTCGCAGACAAAGCCTGCAGGAGCTGGAGGAGAGTGCAGCTGGCCGAGATGGCCGGACACAGGAGAGCAGCTGGCAGCTGGTGCTCGGTCTCTGCCATGGGACCATCGTAGTCTGGGCACATAGGTCCATGCACATGGACGCTGCTCCTCTGACCCTGCCTGCCGCTGCTTGCCCAGATGTGGCTCCAGAGTTACCAGATCTTCCAGTTTTGCAAAGGAAGCCAGAAATCATTCCTTTTTTCTTTTTGGTGAGGAAGATTAGCCCTGAGCTAACATCTGTGCCAATCTTCCTCTATTTTGTATGTGGGACGCCACCACAGCATGGCTTGATGAGCAGTGTTTAGGTCCGCACTCAGGATCTGAATGCATGAATTCCGAGCCACCAAAGCAGAGCACGTGCACTTAACCACTACACCACTGGACTGGCCCCCAGAAGTCATTGTTACACAAAAGTTTTTTGAGTTTTATGTATTGACAGTTTGTAATTTAACACTTTGCAGGCTAAGTAGGACCTAATGGGCTGGAATGCAGGCGGCTGGTCTGATAGCTCTGGAGAGGGCAGAACTGCACCTGTGTGCAGTGGACTGGCAGGGGGCTGGTGGAGGGCTTGCCAAGGGGACCCTCTGCCCCCTGTCGATCACCGTATTCCCTCCCCAAGCTGACCAGGCTGTGGCCATACTAGCCTGCCTTCTGTGCCTCAGACTCATCTGGCTTCCTCCAGGGGCGCAGCCTTTGCGTCAGCTGATGCTCTTGTGGCCTGGACGGCTCTTCCCTCTGGTATCTACACAGCTGCTTCCTCGTTACTTAGCTCTGCGTAAAGTCAACCCCTCCATGAGGCTTTCTCTGACCACCCAGTCACCCGACCGTGTGACCCTCCTTTCATCTCTACATGGGCCTTACCACCGTTTGCCCTCCTTGGTGTGCATGCGTGCATGTGTGCTTGTGTACATGTGTGTATGCTTGCGTAAATGCGTGTGTGTACATGTGTATTCTCAGCCTACTCTAGAATACGAGCTTCCTAAGAACATCTCTGTTTTCTGGTCTGTTGTCTGGTGTCTAACTGAAAGCTGGCACGTAGCAGGTGATCGATAAATGGAACTTGGGGGAAAGAAAATTGGTTGCAACTTATGCCTTATTTTGATGTTTTTTTCAATTAAAGTCTGTAACATGCTTTTTTGCTGTTGTCATTATTCTTCACAGTTAAGAGGAAAAAAAGTTCCAAATCAGAGGCTAAGGGAACCGTTTCTAAAGTCACTGGGAAAAAAATCACCAAGATCATCGGTTTGGGAAAGAAAAAGCCGTCAACGGATGAGCAGACCTCCTCCGCCGAGGAGGACGTTCCCACGTGTGGTAAGCGAGGGTTAGACGGTGATGCCCGCTGCGCATGCTGCTCTCCCTGCCGGCGACTCTTGTCAGGCTCAGCTCAGCCTCGTTAATTTGGGCTCTCTTGAAACGGGTTTGTGCTCATTTGAATTGTGGGAAATGTATTGCATTTTTACGTTTTTACTGTTTATTAGTGAAAGACTTTGCAGGGGTTTGAGATGTCTCTGAGGCCTTTCAAGATGAAAAACAAATTCTGTCTTCCATCCCATGAAGTTCTCTCAAATTCCTTTAAAGAGTTTTTAAACCGGAACGTGTGCATGTGTGTTGGCCAGTGGCGGGGGGCTGGGCAGGGGGACAAATTCCAGCAGGACATTTAGGGTCATTAAGTCCAGTCTTTCCCTTGGGCTAAAGTAATAAAACCACGCTTTCTTGTAATGCTCCGTTTCTCAAACTTAAGTTTCAGATCCACCCTAACTGAGTGACCATCTGCCCTCATCAGTCTGTCACCCAGTAAGTGTTTTCTGAGCAGCTGCTGTCTGTCAGACCTGGGTTAACACATGGCGTGCAGTGGTGGCCAGGATGGTCCTGCCCTCCCAGCGCTGCCAGGCTCGTGGCACAGGATAGTTCTGGCACAAGGAGCCCCAGAGATCAGGTGTGGTGACTGACTGCTCGCTGTGGCGAGAGAGCCCGATGGGGGCCTGAGATAGACAGGGCCGGTCAGGGACGGCCTCTGTGGACCAGAGAGATTTTCCACGGGATGGTTCCTGAGCAGCCAGTTTTAACCATGTAGCCCTTTTAAGGAGAAAAACTTTAGAAGCTGAAAGATGGATATTTACCTTGTTTTTAAAGACTAAGGATGGGCTGTAATGTCCCTTGCCTTCTACAGCTGCACAGTCAGCTTTGCGTCAGTGTGGATCCCAGAGGTTCTTTTGTTTGTAGAGTCGCTCTATTCACCTCTTGCTCATTCTCTCTCTTATTGAGCATTCATTCTGTCCAAGGTCTTGGGTTTTACTGGGGAGATGCCAAAAGCTCTCTCGTTTAGGCGCCGCCCGGTCGGTGGGCCTAAGTTGGGCCGTAGACACGAAGGTAGATTCATTCATCAGCTATCAGGTCCCAGCGCGTGAGCTTATGCTCGAGGGAAAAGACGAGGAGGAGGAGCCGTGGTGGTTGGGGGGTGGGGTGGGGCTGCGGAGGGCCGAGCTCGGAGGAGCCGGCTTTGTGCTGCACCCTGCAGGGGAAGCCCGGGGCGTCTTAGCTTCCTTCCAGCTCTCACAGTGATTGTAGGAGCTTGCGTGATAGAGCTTCTTGGTGGACACAACAAAGTGATGTCCTCTGTCACTCCTTGGCGGCCCTGGGGTGGTTGTGTAGACGTGTGTGTGGAATGGAGGTGGCTGAGCAGACAGCAGTAAAGGCGTGCGTGGTTGAGGGTGTCTTGGAGAGGTCTCATTGAAGCGGCTGCCTGTGTTGGGTTGAGTTAGGAGGGAAAATGATGACACCAAAAGGAGACCAAGCCCCTGGGCCCCGTGCACTCAGAGGTCCCTGGTCCTGTCCCTCGTCAGATGGCAGTTGGGGCACAGAAGTGGCTGACTGATGCTCTTTGCACTGCCCTAGGTTCCATCCCTAAACCGAAGGAGAGACAACTGCCTGGCTGAAATCAAACCCAGTGGAACGGGTGTAGCGTGGAGGGGCGAGGGGAAGGTGGATCTGTTGATGCCATGGTGCTGTCTCCTCTCAGCCTCTGCCTTTCTTGGAGCAAGGAGAAGCGCTCGGTGCCGTGGGGTTGTTTCCTCTCTTGCATTTGCCCTGGAGAGGAGATAGGAGCTAGCAATTAAAGATGGAAAGAGGGAATTATCCAACAAAGACCCAACTCCTTAAAAGCTTTGTTTTTGTGTTTTGAACTGCTCTTGGTCAGTGGAGGAAATAGAGATTCTTTCATGAAAAACAATTAAACATTCACGTGGAAGACGACTTCGAGACTGTAGTCCAGACCCCTCGTTTTCCAGATGAGAACACGGAACTCAGAGGGGTTGTGAGACTTGCTCTGAGGCCCACAGCCCGTTGAGGGCGGAGCCCGGCCCGCTCACCCAGTGCCGTCGATCCCTGTAGCACATGCACCGAGGGCTTCCCAGTTCGTGATTCGCACTGAGCAGCCTTGTTCGTCTCGGGGATCAGCTGCTGCCGTGAATCCTGTCGGGCGCTTTCTTGGAGACACAGCTGCTCCCTCAGAGAGCGGGAATGCGCTATCTGCCTGCCATGCTCCCCGTGAGCATTCCTGTCAAACTGCTCCTGGGCATCTCTTGCCTCTGTTAAGAGAACATCTCCTGTCTACAAGATTTTAAATTGTCGTCTGCTTTGCTGGGACCAGGTGATGGGGAGAAGTCTGTGGAGAAATAAAGGGGGGAAATGACTATTTTCGATTACTTGGTACAGCTGCAAAGTTTCAGGCAGAAAAAGGAGCTGGAAAAAGGCCCAAGCTACCAGCCCTGCCAGGCGGAGTCTCTGCATCTGCTGCCCTTCGCCGCAGGGAGGGGACGTGCCGAGCGGACGGCCGGCGAGCTCAGCCCCGCAGACCCAAGGGCTCCCAGCAGCCGCCCATGAAATGCAGGAGCGCTGCGTTCAGCATCAGCTGGGTCAGCTCTCCAGGGAGGCCCTTGGAGGGGGCGGTCGGGACACGCCCACAGACCCCTAAGCAAACAAGGACCCTTTATTTACCCTTCTCTGGTGCTTACAAGGCCTGAAATTATTGTCACTGTGTCGATTCAGCTGTTGTCCTCAGGGAATGCATTTCAGCTTTTTCCTCTTTTTATCCTCATTTCTGTCTCTTGTTTGGACCAGGACTTAAGCCTCTTGACCGGCCTGCCTTCTGTTCTGTACCGTCCACACCAGCAGGGGGAAGTTCTGAAACCGTACACTGGTCACATCATCCTCTGTCAAAAAGGTCTCTCTTGCGGCTCGATTCAGGGCCTCCGATAATCTTGTTTCAACTTAGTTTTCCAACTTCTTCTCCTCCATTACTGAATTAAGATTTGGGTCCAATTTCCTCCCCAGTCAGGTCCCCAGCACCTAGCAGAGCCTCGCTGATAATAGCAACTCAGCGAACACTTGTTGACCGAATGAATGACCTCAAGCAAGTTGCATGTCCTCTCTGAGCCTCGGCTTCTCCGTCTGTGAAGTGGGCTCAATACTTAAATTGCTTTGCTTTCTAAAAACTGAAGATAAAATACGTGAAACCCTCAGCTCAACGTGTAGCTCACACTTGCTGCTCAGTAAATGGTCACTATCATTATTCATTTGTCTGCCTGGCCTGCTTTTCTTTGTAAAAAACCTAAACATACCAGACATGCTCACAGCAACGTAAGCGCGGTGCCAGGTGAATGGCACAGAAGCTGAGAGAAAGAAGCGGTCCCCAGGCGCTAGGGTGGGGCCTTCATGGAGTCAGGGCAGCCTGAGGAGTGTGAGGGCTGACTGGTATTTCTAGGGTCCCTTCGAGCCCTGGTGCTCTGTGACGGGGTGAGGTCTCCAGCGGTAGGACTCTCGTGCACACACGGAACTTGTGTACCTCTCGCTGTCTCTCAGAATCCACCCACAAAACATCAGGTGATGGTTAAGCAAGGGGAGGAAAGCATTCTGGGTGCGGGTCCCCATGTCAGGGGTGTTGGCACACGGGCTCCTTGGCGTGTATGCCATCGGAGGAGATGTGCCCACGTGGGAAGGGAGGTGCTTTGGTGTCAGCGGGCCTGGGGTCCGCTGTTGGCAGCCTCTCTGCTTTTGGTACCCCCTTCCCACAGCACCCTTTGCTGCTGGCCGGAAGCCCCTTCCCCAGGCATCTGCTCTCAGCTCCTTGCAGACCAAGACATGCTAAGATGAAGCGAGCATGCGCTGGGGTGAGCGTCCCCTCAAGACTGGGACCGACGCACAGGCGCCGCTCAGGCAGACACCGCTGTTTCTCGTCCTAAAGAGGAGAGATCAGTGGCGCTTGGCCCGCTTACACTGGGTCCCCCTGCCTGCCCCTCTGCGCTGCCGGGGTCTGAGGGCCAGCCGGCGCCGGGGGAAGCCGGAGGTGAACAGCTGAGGCGGGAGCGGCTGTCCTCTCCCTCTGTGTTTTTGTTTATTGGTTTAATCTCAGGCCCTCCCTTTGTGTTTTTGTTTGTTGGTAAAGCTAGTTTCAATGGTTTTGTGAGAAACCTTAGAGTTCTTTCTTCAGAATTCGGAGTGGAAATAGTCTCAAACATCAAACTGGAATTCTCAGATTGTTAAGGTACAATAATATCCCGCCATGATGCAATAAGTAGGACCCAAAAAATTGAAATGGAATTACACGTGGAATTGCCTTACTGTGCACGTCGTGGAAATGAACCAGGTGGGCTGTGAGCATCCTCAGCCAGGTGCTTGCCGAGGGATCCGGGTCCCGCGGGGCTGGGCTGCACTGTGGCGCCACCTGGTGGTGGTGTCTGCTCCAGCTGGACGGTTCATTGATGAGGGGGGACCCGGTCAGCGCTGCTTCCTTCCATCAGCCAGACTAGGGGTGTGGGGCTGGGAGGGCCTCTCCCCCATCTCCATGGTCTCTACAGGAAGTGGGAATTTCAGGCCGCCCCTTTTTGGGAAGAGCAGAGAGCGGGGAGCCTGGCAGGAGAGGCTGCCGCATGTGGACTCGGTCCTGTGGAGTTGATTGTCCACAGAAGCAGTCTGCTCTGTCCGCTGTGACTCTCTTCTTGCTCCCCCTTTGGGGAACTGTAAATAAGTCTGAGGAAGCCCTTAAGATATGGTAATTTCATATGAAGTCATACTCTAAATAAAACGTGAGTCTGTCCGATGTAATCATTCTTTTTGTGACTCAAATGTCAAGAAATTCCTAGCGCTTGGTGACTCGTGGCCGGATTCGCTCGGTCGGGGAGAAGGTGTCCCGGGCGTGCCTGCGCCTCTTCAGGACGTGTGTCATTCACGGTTGTGAGCGGACTCGGCAGCTGCGTTCCCACAGCGCAGGGGTGCGCTGGAGAGAGCACGCCACGTGGCGGTCTCCAGTTCGGAGGCGCTGGGAGTTTAGAAGGAACGTGCTCGCTGTTGAGGAGGCAGATGTGCCATTAACCTCCACTTGGTGCTTCGAGTCCTCGATGGATATTGTGGCATCTCACCTCCCCAGCACGGTCCCTGTCGTCTTCCGTGTCAGGCCGGCTTCCTACGAGAGTGTCCAAGTTCCCTGGAATCAGGTCACTGGATGCTTCAGGCTCAGCGTCTGCTGCTGCCCTCTTCTCCCGTGGCTGCCTTCCTGCTGCAGGCTGTGGGACCCCCGCCTCTCAGGCCCCCCTTACCACTCCAGGTGACGCACGGGCTTCCCTCGACTGGCTCCAGTTGGAACGCCGCCTGGCGCCCTGGGGCCCAGTGCTGGTGGGAATTGTTTTCTGTGTGTTGACCTGTGTGCCCAAGGAGATCCAGTTCCTTGAGAGCAGGGCCGTGGCCTCCCATTCATTTTAGGTGCACCACTGCGATTGTCTCTGGGCCACGTGTGTCGATTCATGCTCCATGAGTCGTAGGAAGCATGCAGTCCATGGTCATTTCCTGAAGTCCAAGAAAAGTGGACTTCCAGCATGATTAATTTCTGCCAGAGTCATAGCTGTTAAGTGGCTCTGGTAGCCGGTACTCAGATGTTCAGATATTATAGTTGATTGACTATATGTTTTTAAGTAGAGCTTGCTTTTTTTTTAAACAATAAATGTATCAGCACTATGTCATTTACAAATAGTATTTTACAGAATGGAAATCATAATGTGAGATCCACAGCTCTGATCCAAATAACAGCTCTTTCGCTGCCATCTTTAATTCTCAGAAGAACCTCGGGCCAGGCTTTGCTGGGTGTTCTTGAACAAGACATTCCTGTAACGGGGCGAGCTTCCTCCTTCGTGGCATGAGTCCTTTGACTCTGACGCTCCGTCTCCTCCTCCCTCCCTCCAGTGCCTCCTCACTGTGGAACATGCAAGGAGCTGCCAGTCCCCGGCACTCCAGCGAGGGGCTTACTTCTCCGCTTTCTCTGTTCTTTCACAGATACCCCACCTCATGCCCCGAACTCATGTTTTCGTTCCAGGAGAACCAGTGTAGCCTTTTGTTGAGGGTGTATTGGCAGAGCCGATGTCACATTTAGCCAAACGAAAATTTAAACTTTCTAAGTGTTGACCTAGTAAATTCGTTGAGCAGATATTTATATGTAATATATAAAGCATTATTCTGGGCCCTTTAACACACCTGTTTGCTTGGGATTTTTTTTTTCTTTATAGCATTTATCTATTGCTAATACAGCATGTAAGACTTAGAACAAAAATAAGCAGAAAACATCCACCAAAACCCTTTTGGAAAGGCATTTTTAAAAATCATGATTGGAAAGGATTTATTTTGTTTTACGTGGTTTTTTTTGGTTTCTTTTGTTGAGGAAGATTCGCCCTGAGCTAATATCTGCTACCAATATTCCTCTTTTTGTGTGTGAGCTGCCTTCACAGCCTGGCCGCTGACAGACAAGTAGTGTAGGTCCACACCTGGGAACTGAACCCGGCCTCCAAAGTGGAGCGTGCTGAACGTAACCGTTAGGCCCCCGGGGCTGGCCTGTGTTGTTTTGTTTTCAAGCCTCGTGTGTGCATGAATTGAAAAAGTAGCTGAATTACTTAAGGAGTCCCTGTTTTATTTCTTCCTTTTTGACTGCGTTTTATGTTGTTTGACTCACTTTCGAAATCTTAAAGGACGGGGGTGGTAAGTTGCCAGCATTATGGGATGGTTAGAGGTCACAGCCACCCTCTGAAATCTGTTTCTCAAGCCTTGTTATTTCTAGAGAAATGTGTTTTATGTTTGTGGCATGAAAATGATCAATTTCCTGTAATTGAGGAAATTTCCTGTTTTTAAAATTCCATCACGTGGAGATATATGTATATCTCTTTAATAGACTGAAGATACCATGTCGTATCAGAGAAATGAATGACGGTTTCGAGTACGTTCAGACTCGGGAGTTCAGAATTCGTGTGGGCAGGATGGCCAGCGGGACCAATCCTCAGGTCAGAGGCTGCAGCGAGGGTCTCTGTGTGCACCTTTGGCCTCTGAGTGGGACTCACACCGAGGATCTTCCATCATTTGCTGGAATACTTCCAGCAGGGCGCAACTCGTCACCTCCCAAGGCTTCCTATTTCTTGGAAAGCTTTCATTTTGGGGGAGTTTTTTTCTCCTGTTAAGCCAAAATCTGCCTTTCTGTGACTTTTGTCCTACTTGTGTCCTTTGCAGCTACTCAGCATGAATCTGCCTCCTTTTCTGTGTGACGGCCCTTCGGTCATTTGAGGACAGCTGTCCTGTCCTCTGTGGGCTGGTGACCTTTCGCACTCTCCGGACGAGCTCCAGGTGCCCACAGAAACGTTAGGCGTCGGGTAACTGGTTCTTAGCGCTCACTCTCCCCGTCGTGTCACATTAGGGCCTTCTGATAGGGTCTGTGCTGTCGTAGGAAAAACCCGCACGCGTCTGTGGAGACTAGGCTGTTGTGGTGGTGGCTCTTCTGGTTTGTGGGAACTTGCATTTAAACTGTTGTGTGAGGCTGCCTCGAACGTGCTGCCATCACCGGCTCCCTGATGAGACCGGAGCTGCCTCCATGAGGCCCCGCCAGCGCCTGGTCCCCCGGGGCTGACGGCCGGCGTCCGTCCCTTTGCAGGCTACCTGAACGTGCTCTCCAACAACCGCTGGCGCGAGCGCTGGTGCCGGGTGAAGGACAACAAGCTGGTTTTCCACAAGGACAGGGCTGACCTGAAGACCCACATTGCTTCCATCCCACTCCGCGGCTGCGAGGTCATCCCGGGTCTGGATTCCAAGCACCCCCTGACGTTCCGGCTGCTCCGCCACGGACAGGAGGTCGCCGCGCTGGAGGTAGGGTGCCGCCAGGGGCCACGCCGCGCGGACGCACCCAGAGGCTCCTTCTGCAAGTCGGGTCCGGCTCCTCTCAGAGTTCTCACGCCTTGCTGAGCGCACGTCTGTCTCCAGCGGTGTCCGTCTCTCCCGCTTTGCCCATTTTGTCCGTCTCTGCTTTCCTTCTGTCACCTCCTCTTCTGAAGAGTTCTGACAGTGCAGACAGCATAGTGCCCATTTTTACTAAATTGTACGCATCAGACTTGTCTGCCAGATTACCTCCTTGCTTCATTTCCTCTCTATACAGGTTTGCATGAAAATTAAATACACATTTCCATACAGTAGATGGCTCTTTTTTGTTTTTTTGTTTGGTGAGGAAGATTGGCCCTGAGCTAACATCTCTGGCCAGTCTTCCTCTATTTTGTGTGTAGGATGCCACCACAGCATGGCTTGACAAGCAGTGTAGGTCCTTGCCCAGGATCCCAACCGGTGAACCTGGGCCACTAAAGCGGAGTGCACAGAACTCAACCACTACGCCACTGAGCCAGGCCCCAGAAGATTGCTTTTTAAAAGTGGCCAGAAAATAACTTGTTTAAAATTTCCAGTAAAACTTTTTTCCCTAATGTGGTCCACCTTTGAAATGTTGGTGTTTCCTGTAACTCTTCCTTCGGAATGTTCTTGACTTCTTTACAGATGGAACAGGTGTTTTTAGACCAACATTGCCTTACAGACAGCGGCCAGGGAGCCAGATTACATGGAAGCAAAAAGAACACCTTTGGTTTTTAAGAGCCCTTGGCTTTGCATGCATTTCATTATTTGTTCGGCTCCTTTTCTTGGACTTCTAATTCACTACAGCAGAAAAGGGGATTAAAACTAATTTCTTAGCTGCATACTTAAAACTTTTATTTTTGGAAGTTTTAGTTTTTATTTTTTATCTGTTATATTATTAATTTATTTTCTACCCAATGTTAATTCAGACTTTTTTTTCCACTTAGCATTATCATGATTAGGATGCAAAGAGGCGCACACACACATATGTCCATGCCTGCACAGATATCCGGCGGCAGGATTTCCAGAGTACTTAGAAGCGTATTGACAGTGTGTAGTTGACAGAAACGAGGACGCACTAGCTTTGGCGGAATGGCTGGTATGCGTTGTGAGTTCGTCAGACGTAGAGCCACGTTCTCAATGACTGTGGTGGTGCTGGTCAGTGGAGGAACGAGCCTGGGGCTTGTGACCAGGATCAAGGGGGCCCGGTCAGGTGAGCCAGAGGTCACCATAGGAGATAGGAGTTTGCTTCAGAGACTGTTTTCAGAGAAGTTACTTTTTCTGTTGTGAGCAGAAGATTAACAGTATGTTTCTTCCTCCCACAGGGCTCATGGCCCAATAGATTGTGTTCACGGTCAGCAGCACTGGCCGCTGCTCCCCCCACCCCCCACCCCGTGCTGACTTTGGAGCATGTGATTTCACAGAAAGACACACTCCCACTGGAGGCGGGACATTGGGTCCTGGTCAGGGTTCTGTCTCACACTTTGATCACACCGCACCTTTGCTCCTCCCTTGGCTTCTTTATTCACCTGTAAAGCGTGGACGCTGGGCTGGAGTCAGTGTGCTTTGTAGCGTTTCCTGGGCGGTTGGCAGTGGAGGAAAGCTGAAAAGGCAGACCAGGAAACTGCTCTGGACGTGAAACAACGCAGGTCTCGGGAGCTCGGGCGCAGGTCTGGGTGCAGGCGCGAGGTGAGAAGGCAGGAGCTGGCACACACTGGACGCCGGACCAGAGTGAGGACTTGAGTCTGGAGGCTGAGAGGAAGATTTTCCCTTCCTCCGTTTAATTGATTATTCATTCACTTATGTGTGTGTATCAGTGAGGATGCATAGATTCTTATTTTAATCAGTGAATATAGTCCTTTATTGTCATGATTTATTTCGGTCACATTATCAGATTTGGTCAGCAGAAGGCCCTTTGAGCTGGCTCTTGTGTCCTTTGCTGTGTCCATGTAGTAAAGACACCACAGTCCCCATCGTTCTTTGAGCACTTTCCTTATGTTGTGGTACAATGAGATGTCCCAGGCTTATCTTACACTTTTCCCTGCCCCCGGCCTCGCGGAGTCAGCCATTTCTCCAAAGAGCTCTTAGTGGATTCCTCCTAACGGATAATGGTATTTAGAAACCAGGATCTGGGCGGAAGGCATGCTCATACTCATTGCTTCTGGGCATTTCAGTGGTCAAACATAGGAAGTAGGGGTGTGTGTGTGTGTGTGTGTGTGTGTGTGTACATACACATATTCACGCATGTTTATATGTTATACATGACACATATTTATGTGTTTATATACATATGTATACACCCACACCTATATCTGTTTCTATATTAAAAGCCACAAGATCATAACTAATACTCTAATTTCAGTCCAACACCAAGGGTTCTTTAAAAAAAAACTATGAGGGAATTTCCTAAAATGAACCGTGAAGACAACAGTCAGTAAGCTCCGCGCGGTTGTGTTAGTCACGCCGTACATGTTGTGCTCAAACCCTTTAAAACATGCTTGGATGAAATGGTTGTAGATGCAGCAGTACAGATTCAGTCATAGATACATTCTCAATACAGACTTTGCTTTAGGAAGCACAAAGACCAGAGAAGAGAATGCATTTGTGATGTTTTTTTTAATCCGAGTATTCAAATCGATTCATTGTAAGTTAGCAAACGTTGGTTGCATTCTTACTTTCTGCAAGGCACGTAATTGGAATCCATTCCCTTTGCCCCGACGGCCTCGTTCGTGCTGGTTAGGAACGGTTTGTCACTTGCGCAATGTTGCTAGCCAATTTTATCAACATGCGAAAACCAGCTTCTCCCTTGTTAACGGCTCTTGGACTGTTTACAGTTACTTGTATTCTGATCAGTGTTCAACTTGTCAAGGTTACAATGGTAAAACCCAATTTTCTTTATGTCTTGAAGCTAAACTTACAGCTCTTTATACAAAAAATTTGCAATTTTTACAAAAAATAAAAATTTATTTTTTCTTTGACATTCAGTTAACTCGTACATTTGATAGTTCAATTTACCCTGAACTTTAAACATTATTTACATATTTGATTAGTCAAATGTCTTTAGACATTTAAAATACCGTTATAAATGTAACGTAATTGAGTTTCTAAATCACATAACAAGGATGGCTTAAAAGCTTAATGAACAGAGTCTCAAAGATGTGTTTCAGACTTGCAAATTAAGCAGATCCAATTTGGGGTGGAGGAGCATTTCAAACATCTTAAAAAGTATCATGCACCAAGCAGCCCAACGCGTGTAAAACATTACTACACCTGTATAAACACAACAATACAAAGTAAGTTAATTTTTTATACCATCTAATCAAGGGAAATAAAATGGCCATTTCAGGCCCATGGGAGACCACGGCAGGGGCTCAAACCAGAGTTTGAGACCCACAGAGGCCAGACCCGATGCGCTTCCCTGTTAGGCCAGCCACGGTGGAGGGACTCCTTTTTCTGGCCACTTTTCTTGCCGAGTGAAAGAGGCTCCCGAAACAAATTCTTTAGCTGAGCCTTAACTAATCACGTTAATTTCCATGTCTTACGCTCTAGTGCCTTTCCCCAGAATAATAGGAAGGCATTTTGGGGCCTCAGATTTTTATTTCCTTGGCTATGATCATTATGTAGCTTCCCCATTAAGGCTCGCTGTGCGTGTGGTGTCCATCCCATTACTCGGGCCATGACTGTGCCCCTTTCCTGTCTATACTCCTCATGTGCTTCCCGCACCAGCGCCTTCCTCCTGTGTCTTCTGTTTGCTGAGGTATGAAAGTGTTGACGCTCTTTGCCCTTACTTAACTAAAACGTACCTTTTTTCCCTTCACCTCAACAGGCATCTTCTTCTGAAGACATGGGCAGATGGATTGGGATTTTGCTGGCTGAGACGGGGTCCTCGACAGACCCCGGGGCTCTGCACTACGACTATATAGACGTGGAGATGTCTGCGAACGTCATTCAGACAGCGAAACAGACCTTCTGGTAAGATCTGTTCCCTGTGAAATGATGCTAAAGTTATGCAACTTTATTTTTTCCCTAATTTTTTTACTTTTTGTTTGAGCATATAGCCTCAGGGGGGGAAAACAACTAAAGACTCTCCCTTTTATATTAATCTGAATTTTGCTGAAATATTTATCATTTCAACCCTCTGGTTTTTTTTTTTTTTTTGTCAGAGCAGGGGTTGGCAGACTTTTTCTGTAAAAGACAAGATAGGAAATATTTTTGGCTTTTGGGGCCAGATGTTCTCTGTCGTAACTACTCAGCTCCGCCATTGCAGTCGTACACAATACGTAAATGAGTGGACATGGCCATGCTCCAGTGAAACTTGATTTGCAAAGATAGGCCGTGGGCCAGCTGTGGCCGGCGGGCTGTGGTTTGCTGGCCCCCGTGTTAGGGGAACGGTTCTGTGAGACAGGACAACCCCACCTATTGCTGCAGTGAGGGCTGACTTTTCAAAGCTATCAATCTGTACTTTTAAAACTTAAATTGTGATCTTCTTTAAAAACATTGTTATGTTTGAAAACGCTCTCTTGAACTGTGGGCATTTCTTCAGCATAATGATGGCAAAAATGATTACAGCAGCAGTTCTCGACGTGTGGCCCACACCATGGGGTGGTCAAGACCCTTTCAGAGTCCAGAGGTCAAAACTGCTTTCCTAATAGTACTAAGAAATGATTTTCCTTCTTCCCTGTTGTGACGTTTGCATCAGTGGTGCAAAAGCAATGGTGGGTGCATCGGCTGGCGACTTGGCACGGATAGCGGCCGCACCACACTGTGCTGTAATCACCGTGTTCCTCACCGCCACGTGCGTGTGGTCAAGGAAGATGCCGCGTTCACTTAAGATGTCTCTGAGGAAGCAGTAAAAATTACTACTGTTCTGTAAAGGGCCAGATTGTAGATATTTTTGTTAAATTTCTTGAGTATGTCTTTTTAGTATTTGTGTGACGTAATAATGAGGACACATAAGCCCTTACTGAACTGGAGTGTTGTCTTGAGGGAAAGCATATGTACAGTTGAGTTGCTAACTGAAAATTTTTTCCCTCCATTTTTTCACTTTTACTTGAAAAACAATGGCAGGCAAACTGTGGTTATTCAGACTTCGGTGTTTGCAGACATATTTTTGAACGTGAACTGAGTCTCTCATCTCGAGGAAGACGGTTGGCAGCCTCGTTGCCTGTGATACAGTTGAACTTTCGCTCAGAAACTAGAATTTTGGAAAATTTGTATCTGCCACTGTGAACCGATAGCTTCCTAATACTTGCAGAGTTTTCTTGTCTTTTTTTTTTTTTTCTTTTCTTCCTTGGTGAGGAAGACTTGCCTGGAGCTAACATCTGTTACCAATCTTCCTCTTTCTTTGCTTGAGGAAGATTAGCCCTGAGCTCCATCTGTGCCACTCCTCCTCGACTTTGTATGTGGGTCACTGTCTGAGCATTGCTGACTAGCAGTAGGTCCGTGCCCAGGATCCAAACCCCTGAACCCAGGCCGCCAAAGTGGATCATGCCAAACTCAACCACTACGCCACAGGGCCGGCTCCCTTACAGACTTTTCTGATTAGATCAGTGGTGACACTAATGAGTATGATTTTTTTTTTATATTGTATAAGGAAGTATGTCAACATTTGAAAGATGTGTAAGTCATGCGTGGGTCAAAGATCCATTCCACGTGCAAGATAAGCTAATGGGTGTTACGTGAGAGAGTACAAAAGGTTCACTGATAGAATTTCAGAGAGTGCATTGCAAGTAATCATTAGGAGACCGCCGCTTGTTGAGTGTTGGTGTAGTAATGCAGAAGCAGTAACTACAGCTGTCTGGAAAGGGTGTTAAAATGCTCCTCACCTTCCAGCTGCACCTCTGCGTGAGGCTGGGTCCTTCAAGCACTTCAGCCAAACAGCGCAGTGTAACGGTCTGAATGCAGAGCAAGTGCGAGGATCCAGCCGTCTTCTGTTAGGCCAGGCAGCATTGAATGGATTACAAACCTGTAAAATGGTGCCGCATTTTCTCACTACTTTTTTTTAATTTTAGAAATACAGTTTTCTTAAAATATATTATGTTGAAATATGATGGATTTTTTCCTGTTATTCTAAAATGAATAAAAGTGAATACATTTCTGAGGTTTAACTTCAAATACAGTAAATATTGCTAATTGACAACCGCATAAACAAAAGCTTTTGGGGGTCTTCAATAATTTTTAAGGATGTAAAGACTAAAACATTTGCGGATCACTGATTTATAGGAACAAATTAGAGCAGTTAAGAAATGGCTGGTTGGTGCCCCGTGCTCCCCGCTGTCTCCAGCAGGGGGCGGCCAGCTTTCCCTGTAGAGGGCAGGATGGCGGGTCCTTCCAGCTTTGCAAATCGTAACCACTCCTCTTTGTCACGACTGCCCAACTCTGCGTTGTCGCGCAAAGGCAGCCAGACAATCCTGAACCAGTGGAAGGGGCTGTGCTTGGCAGGAGCCCGCAGACCGTCGGTCTAAAGGTGTGCCGTGGGTACGAGGGGAAGAGTGTTGGACTAGGAGGAGGAAATCGGGTCTGCTTCTGCTGTGGTATTGACTGAGAGGCAAAGTTTGGACAAGCCATTCCCGGCCTCTCAGTGCCTCGGCTGCCTGGGGTAGGAAATGGAGGGTTAGAGAAGGCGGCGTCCAACGCGGCCTCTGCCTCTGTTCTCTCTGTTCCCTGGCCTCCCGCTTCTTTCTCCCTTGTCCTTAGACAGTCTGGATTTGGGGCCGAGGAGAGGTGGGTTGAAACAAAACCGGTGCTGGAATTGTACGATCAGCATTGACAGTGAACACACCAGCACCTGCTGGCAGACCCGCCCGCGCCCTCTGAGACCGTCAAACCCTCTGAGTACCAAGAGGGTGAACTCAGACGTTTACACCGTTATTTGCCTGTTTAATGTGAACACCACCGTTTAGGTTTTCCAACAAGTGGTGTTTCTGGGGCACTTGAGCAGTCTTCCTTTGAACATAAACATTTGAGAATGAATATTTATTTAGTGCTTGACTAGGAAATTCCGGGGCTAAGTAAAGAAAAGATGACTGGCCCATATTAGGATTCAAGCCACCGTGTTCTCCCTGACTAAGGTAAATGGCCTTGACAAAATGAATTCATCTTGTACAAAATCTCCAGTAATGCTAGAAGGTTTTTAAAGTATAAACTACCTGTTGTTACCACTGTTCTTTTGTGTAAAAATCAGGATGACATAGTCAAATACTGACTGTTCTGTTTATGTTCATTATTTTTCCGTATAACGTTCTATCTAATCAGCAAAATTATAGTGACTCTCCTGATCACTCAGTACCACGCAGTGCATAACGCACATTTAAAGTGGCTGTTTTAAGAGACATAGTGCCCATAAGTCAGGTTTGCAAAATCTACACATCTACAGTGACATAAAAGGAAAGAGTTTATGATTGTTAACTGGCTGTTTGGAAGTTACTGGATTTCCCAATGCTTCTCCTAAGTCCACATGTGACTTCAGCCATAATCAGCCAACTGACAACCTCGTTTCAGAGAAACCCGGATGTTTCCCCTGGAATGCAACTTGGCTTCTGCATTCTAAATGAGTGGAATAGGGTCGAAACCAAACGTGGGAAGGTTGCATTCTTGAGAAAGGAATGTAGATCACAATATTTAAAAATTGTTTGTTAAAAATATGCATGTCATCAGTTTATGGCTGCGAGAGTCTTGGCTACTTCATTGAAATATTTATAGATGTCACTTAGCAGTGATGTTTATTTTCATTTTTCAGTTTTCTAGCTCAACATTCTTTTAAAACTTGAGAAGAGATTTAACAAGGAAACATTGTTCGAAATATAAAATATGGTATCTAGCCAATGTGATAAATATTCTAAGAGTAAATTAATTTCTTGCCTTTATGTAAATTGGCAGCCGGTTAATGAATGTTTTTAAGGTTATTAGGGAAATTATCTGTGCGTTGGATGTATCTGAGGGAGAAAGGGCAATAGTATATTTTGGGAAAAGGACAGTAAAAGACAAATAGTAATATAAATTCTCCCAGGACGAGTGATATATTTAGGAATATTAATAATGGTAAGCAGTTAATATATTTTCTTGAGACCTGTTTTTAAATGAGATATATAAATTATATGATGCAAGGGAAGTGTTCTGAGTTTTTCTCATGTGACTCTTTTGAAGTCACGCTCAGTGGGAGACCCTTGAGAAAGTAATAATAATAATGATGATGATCAAAGCAGGGGATCAGTGTGGACGGAGAGGGGAACAGACGGACGGGAAACTGTCACCTTGAGTCACCCCCTCATTTGAATCCCTGGGAAAGTATTTTAAAATAAATTTACTTAAAACATGGATGAACCTTGAGGACATTGTGCTCAGTGAAAAAAGCCAGTCACAAAAAGACAAATACTGTATGATTCCACTTCTATGAGGTCCCCAGAGCCATCAAATTCATAGAGACAGAAAGTGGAATAGTGGTTGCCTGGGGCTGGGGGAGAGGATGGGAATCCATGTTGAATGGGGACAGAGTTTCAGTTTGGGGAGAGGAAAAAGTTCTAGAGATGGACGGTGGGGATGGTTGCTCAACATAAATATACTTAATGCCCCAGGACCGTGCACTTAAAAGTGGTTGAGATGGTAAATGTTATGTGCACTTTACCACAACATACATATTTCGTATGTGTCTTATGTTTTTGGTTTAACAAACAGTCCTTATCTCATTTCCACTTTTCTGTTCAGCTAAAAGCCCTGTTGTAGGAAGAGCGTCAAGGCAGAAGACAGGCCTAACCCTTAGTCTTGGCTCCGCTTGCTCTTTGGGGCCTCTTTGGTTTTGGGTCCTCTCTGTGAGGTGAGGGGCACACTGACCGGTGGCTAAGGCCTCTTCGGCTGGGACACACTGCGTGCCTCTCATTCTCACGTCCTGAGTCAGAAGCGTCCTGCTGCTGTCTGTTCCACACAGGCAAGCTTCTGTCCTGCCCCCTGGTGGCCCCCACGCCCTCCTGGCATCTGCACACCAGTGTAAGGGCTAGTTACAGCTCCAGACACTGGAGATGCAGACCGCGCAGGAGACAGTCTCTGCCGGCCGGGCCTCCCTCAGCCAGGACACGGAACAGACTCGTGTGGCACCCATCACTGTGCAGTGGTGGGGCGTTGTCGCGGGCCCCCCGCACGAGGAAGGAGTGGTCCATGTGGCCAGGGTTTTTCATTCATTCCATTTACTGCTTTCACTGACAAAAAGTGTACAGAGTGCCTGACTCCCAAAATACCCTCCAATGAGACATTTACATTAGAAAACCTCAAATATATATTTAACAACAAATTAAACTTCTCATTCTTGAATTTTTTCTTTTCCTATACATTTTCTTGTCCTACATATACTTTTATGCATTTTAAGTATGGAATAATCATATACATTTTTTATCAGAAACAAGCGAGAAGAGTTGGAATTAAAGAGTGGTGCATCTCAGGTGGACCTGGGCATGCACAGCCGTCTTCTCCCAGCAGAGGGCAGTGTACGCCCTGAAGGGCCGCGCGCCCGGACTCCTCCTTGCCCACCTCTCTCCCTTTCCTGAACCAGGAGCCGGCTTAGCTTTGTTGCAAGACCTCTTGTCGGAGAGGCCGTGTTCACTGGCCCCTGTACTGCCCTCACTTTCTTCCCTCTCTTTTTTATGCATCTAGTTACCATGGAAAGGTAAGATCCTGCAAAGAAACAAAATTTGGAAAAAAAAATCATTTTTTTACTCCAGGCTCTTTTCCTTTCCCTAATTAGGAGAGGCAGCTGTCTAGGTTACTTCTCCCTCGGCCTTTCCATCCTTGCCTGTGAGCAGCATCGCTCCAGGAGTGCACTGTGCACGCACTCAGCAAGTGTTTGCTGAGCCCCATGTGCACCAGCACGTCCTGGACACTCGGGACGTGGGGCTGGACCATAGTGACGACGGCCCTGTTCTCCTGAAGCTCCTGTCCTGGTGGGGAAAATGGCCAGGAAACGCAGAATGCTATGAGCTGTGAGGTGTGGCTGGTAGTGGGAGGAAGGAGTAGGGGAGAGGCGAGGGGTGCCCAGGTGGGCGGTGTGCTGCTTGTTTCAGGTGCTCAGAGGGCTCCTAATAAAGTGACATTCCCACTGGGACTGAAGGGAGTGAGGGCTCCTCAGGAGACGAGCTGCCGGCAGTGGGGACAGCAGGGCCCTGAGGCGGGGCCTGGTGAGTGGGGCCCGCAGGGGGAGACGTGCGGGCAGGTGGCAGGGCCGGGCGCTCGGGTGCTCAGAGTCCTGCGGGCCACATGGCAGCCCTCAGGATTGCTCTAGGAGCCACTTCGGTAGCCACCAGCAGTTCCGAGCGGAGGAGTGACGTGGTCTGGCTGGCCTCCTGGAGGACAGCACTGGCCGCTGTCAGAGGCTTCCAGAAGTTCAGGGAAGCGGGGATTAGAGGGGAGGACGCGCTGCACTGAGGTGGTAGTGACACTGAATGACACTGAGAACTCGAGAAACGCTTGTTGAGGAAACGTTCTCAAGGGCTGAGGGGTCCACGAGCTTTTCCCGAAAAGGGCCAGATAGCGAACGTTTCAGTTGTGAGGACCACGTGGTCTCTGCGTTTGCGAGTTTCCAGGCTCGTGAGAGAGGCGCCTAGAGTCTCAGAGCAGCCACAGAGGTGCGGAAACGAGGGTCACAGCACTGCCCCAGGGAAGCCATGTTCACCGAAGCAGGCGGTGGCAGGAGCCCCCTGCTACAGACGGCTGATGACAGGGATGGGGGTTGTTTCTGGGACGCCGGTTACATGCCGGACGTTGCTTTCTGCACCCAGCTCGTGTTGGCACCAGCGCTGCCCCGGTTCTGCAGGGCGGCAGGGGCCTGTTTTGTGGGTGAGGAAGCTCTCCCGATGGCTTTAGCCGGACACCCCATCTCTCCTGGTCCTGATATTCCCACGCCGCGGCCTCTGGCGGCCCTGAGCCTCAGGGCCGAGCTCGTGCGAGCCTTGTTGATTGATTGGAGGGTCCTAATCCATTTCCTTTCTTTCAGTTTCGTGAACAGGCGACTTCTATCTACTAATCCCTATCTAGGGGGCACCTCCAGCGGCTACGCCCACCCCAGTGGGACAGCGCTGCACTACGACGACGTCCCGTGCATAGACGGCTCGGTGAGTGTGCCATCCTGGGGAGGAAGTGCTCGTCCGTGGCGGCAGGCAGGGGCGCGGTGAAGGTCTGTGGCGCAGCGCCCTGCTTCAGTCCGGGGGAGGGAGGGCTCGCTCCCCACGCAGGCTGATGGAAGCTGCGTCCCCTCTGCCCGCCTGGGGTCTGGCAGGCTGCCCGTCTTGATCTGCATTTGAACACGTAGGTGGTTTGACAGCGGGGGACAGTCCGTCAGTCAGTGTCAGTGTCATAATTGAACAGTTCTGCACACGCTGGAAGACTGACAAAGGACAGCACATTCGAGTCTGTAACGTGGACGGATCAAAATACAGCACAGTAGAAGTTACCAACGAATAGTTGTCTCCCGGTGTGATCAAATGCTGAGAAATCCCCGTCAGGGAGGAGGTGTTGCCGCTGAGCGATGACCACCCTGAGACTCGAGCCGCGTGCCCTCCTGTGGCCTCCGTGGACTGAGCTCCTGACTGGTGCCACGTGTCTCCCTGTGTGCAGACACTGGAGAGGGTCGCTGACGGCTCTGCGTGAGAACTAGCCTCCTGGCCTCTCTGGCCTTAGGAGTGTTTTGATTTGTTCTCAGTCTTTTGTCTTATGTATAGTTAGTGGCACTCAGCCATAAATACCATGTCTCCATATTATTTATCTGACAGCATTTATGGGGCGTCTTCCCGGGGCCAGGCCTGTGCCATCCTCTGGGCCATCAGAGCGGAGGCCTTCAGGGCCAGCAGACTCTTGGAAGGCGCTCAAAAAACCATTCTACCATTTGTCTCCCACTGTCGGGTGGGTTTAAAATTGGCATCTATGTTAAGATAGGTTTCAAAGGTTGGCATAGAGTATGTTTGTTATTTTTTCAACCTTAGAAGGTATTTTAGATTTTTTTTCCTACTGTTTTGCTCAGCCCATTCTTTTCTCGGTATTTTGATGGATGTCATCAGTCAGCTCCCTGTTATCCATCGTCATAAAACACTCACCTGCCCGAGGCGGGAACCAGGAGACCACTGCCTTCCTGAAGGGGTGAGGGAGTCACGACTCCCAGAGCTCAGGAATATAAGCAAACTGAAAATAAGGTTATTGTGGTCTGGGTCAGAGGTGGCCAGCCAGCTAATCAAGAACTGGGATGTCTTCTGTCCCTGGGCTCTTGGATGTCTTGCTATGGGCCTTCCTGCTGTCAGACACCCCCTCCCACCCCGTCAAGCCTGCCCTGGGGTTCTGGCCAGGGGAGCAGTCCGTCCATGGCTCCTCACATGCATCTGAAAAGGAGCTTCCTCACAGAGTCCGTCCTCCTTCCCACCTCTCTCCTTCCTTCCCATCCTCTCTCTCCTTCCTTCCCTCCTAACTCCTCCCTCTCTCTCCTTCCTTATTTTCCGGGTGTCTCCTAGTGTCTAGGCTCTGTGCTAGGGATTGAAAACAAAATGGCTAAGAGACTGCCCTCATCCGCAAAGGACCTCCTAGGCTAGTGGAGTGGAAGAAGGAGGGTGGAGAGGAAGAGCTGACCGGGGCCCTGGGCGTGGCAGGGACTTGTTCAAATGCAGATTCAGATGCACATCAGGTTCCGTGTTAGGACCTGGGTGCTGCGCTGTGAGCAGAGCCACTGGAAATCCCTCGCTGGCTGCAAAGTCCATCAGATGGAGTCCTGTCTGAGTCTGCGGTGGTCTGGAGTGGGATGGCAGACGAGTTGTGCCCCGCAGTGAGAAAACGCAAGGCCCACTGAGTCTCCTTGCTCCCCATTCCCACCACCACCATTGCCACTGGGGAGTGCAGGGTTTGAGGGGTCCTGGTGCCCATTATACCGTAGCCCCCCACCCCTGTGGAGGAGCTCATGCAGGCCCACCCCCTGAGGGAAAGGCCCCGTGGCGACCCTTACAGGAGCAGGGTCTCAGTCCAGCCTCATCGTAGTCACTGTGCCGTTGTCAAGGTGCCCTGGCTCTCCCTGCCTCCGTTCTGTGCAGACACCAGCAACTCTTGACAGAGCAGCCTTAGCCCCCCTAGGAGCCCCCGCTGCCAAACTCCCCCTCACAGGAGGGTCTGCTCTCAGCCTTCCATCTCAGCCACCAACTTTTTTTGAAAGATACACACAAACCTTTCTCTAGACCTTCCTGCCCTGAGGCCCCTTCTCACAGCTTTTCCTCAAAGGGGTTTCCCCACATGCACACCTTCCACCCGAGAGTGTCAGGCGAGCCGAGGGGCTTGGAGAGACCACAGACCTGCACAAGTACCAGTCCAGCTAGCTAGTTCCCTGTCCCCTTCTGTTGCAGTTTGTGTTATGTGGATCCACGCCTTCCCCAGGAGTGAGCTCTCGCTACACTCACAGCTTCATCTGCCTTGGAAATAACCATCTGCCCTTCCTAACGGGCTCTGCGTTTGGGAACTGTTTCTGCCGGTGCATTGCTGGGCGGGCGATGCGGCATTTAGGACCTAACGTGCTCTGCAGGGTTTGTCGCTCTTTGCTTATCAAGGGCTTCCTTGAAGCTCGGGCCTCTCTTGAACTATTTTTCTACGTGCTGGGCTCCATTACCACATAATCTCTTTTTTGGAAGCCTTCATTGCTCACTTTTATAAAGTTTTTGACCCAATACCTGACATTTTAGCAGTGTTTCAACTTCAGTTAATTCTTACCCAGTCAGTGTTCCCCCAACGCCTAAAGCAAGATGAAAGTGAATCTCAAAAAGGATCTTCTGATGTGCACAAGTGCATGCACACACACACTTTTAATCTAGAAATTTCTACGGAGTTTCTGTTTTCTAAGTCTACCATGTGACTTAATCCTTTGGTATTTTAGGAAAATGATAGTCTAGTCTAGACCATTTTAATAACTCTGGACAAATATGTGCTGGGCTGCAATTATGAAATGCTCACATCCCAGTTTATCTGCGTCTACCATTATTTTTAAATTATAGATGGGTCCCCAGCATCACAAAAATAGGCACATTGAAGTGATTGCAAAGGAATAAAAACATTCCTCCTATGAAATTTTAAACCTTTTCTATTTTTGTAACAAAAGGCTGTAATTATAGTCTGGCAGAAAGAAACTCTGCAAGAAGGATATAAAAATAGGGTAAAATGAGCATGAGATATGAATTAATATTGCTCTTTTTTTTGTAAATGCGAAACAGTTTATGAAGACCTTTAAAACTTAAAAGGATCTGGCTGTGGTCGTAGTTTTTGGTTTTAATTTGTACTTTAATGCCCACGTTCTAAAGTGGCTTGTAGCTATTTTAGTCCTTTGTAAAAAGATTTCCCCCTAAAATAATGCCATTATGTCAGTTGCATTTTGAAACATCTTGTTTTCTGTGATGATTTGATTTCTGTCTTTTAACAGACTGTTTTGTTTACGGCCCCTTCTTCAGGCACGAAAAAGTGTGGCCCAGAGGTGCCTGCTGACAGGCACGCCGATGCCTGCAGGGCAGACGCAGGAGAGCCCGGGGAGGTCCCCCCACCATGGGGCAGCCTGAGGTATAGAGGCAGCAGCGTGTGGGGTTCTGAGCACAGCTCTTAAAGCCAGCTCCGCCTCTTACCGCGATGTCTCTCTGCCTCAGTTTCCTCCTACACTGTAAGATTCCCATGAGAATTACATAGTGGATATCGTCAAGCACTTAAAACAAGGTCTAGAACGTAGTAATTCCTGTGAAATAAACCAAAGTGCCCTGCTGAGATGGTAACGTGTTTTCTCGCTGGAGCCAGAGCTCCAGGGGCCTGGACTGCAGTCCAGCATCCCTTTCCTTACGTCACGTCGCTCCTGCTTTCTGGATCAGGACGCCTTCTGAAATCTGGTTCTTTGAGGAAAGAAATGTCAAATCAGTATTTTTCTTTCGACTTTCAAAAACAGAACAAAACAAAAACTTCATAAGCCAATGACCCTGGGAACGATTTAAGGAAAAAAGAAACCTTTAAGTCCCCAAAAGTAGGGAAGTTCTTTTGAATCCGTCCACCTACGTGTGTGTGATACTGATAACAGCAGGGGGTACATGGACGTGTTTTGGGGGTGCTAGTAACGTCTCAGTGTGCTAACCCCCGCTGTGCTTTCTGTGGCCGAGGCACTAACAACGCTGTGTGTGTTGCAGTGGGAACCCGACGATGGCTTTCCTGCCCCCGGCGGCCGCGGCCCGGGAGAAGAGGTGCTTTACGATAACGCGGTTCTCTACGATAACTTGCCGTCTCCGAAAATCTTTGCACGCTACCCGCCCGCTGGCAGAAAGGCTTCTAGGTTGTCCACTGACACACTGTCCTGTAACCATTACAAACACCCCACCTCCTGCAGCCCGCCTTCCGCTCAGTCTGTCACTAACACCTCTTCTCTGGGGAGGGCGTCTCTCGGGCTCAACTCCCAGGTACAGCATCTCGTTGTTATGTTCTAGAATCGTCTTAAGTCACAGTCCTCCCACAGTTTTGCAATGATGGTATATTCACCAGCTTGTAGTAAATGAGACTCGCCAAGGGTAAAACGTAATTTTTTTCCCTCAACTAGAATATAATTTGCAAATACGATCAACGTTTGCCTACCCAGGAACTGATGAAATATTCTTAACTGGTTCAATGTTTAGACATTGGATTTCTTTGCTCACATCTGGCTCTCTCTGTTCTTGGAAAATTCCCCAGTGAATTTTGTGAATTATGCCAACTAAAGCAAAGACTGGAGAAGGACAAGGACAATAAAAGTTTCCAGAAGATTCTTGAGCGGCAGGTTTCTTTACTATGTTTGCATTACACATGAGGAATGGTAGACTCCATGTACTAAATTGCTTTTTGATCTTCAAACGTTAAATAGGATTATTCGGAGTACTGCAGTATTTTTCTGTAATGAGCATAAAAGTGTATTCCCGAAAACCTAAGTAGATGATAGTAAGGATTTGAGGTTATCATTGAGTGATAAATAACCTCCACATGGGACTGTTGTCCATCTCACACCTCGTATTTATGGCAAATGGTAATATTTCAGGGTAAATACTGATTTTATGTTTTCATGCATTTTCAACCTAAGAATTTTCTATGCTTTGCATAAAGATCTAATCACCACGTATAAGAGTACTCTACAAACACAAAGCAGATGGGCATGTTTTAAGTTCTTTTCTTTTCCCTCTGTTTTGTGTATAATCTTAAAAAAAGTGATGAGTGCCAGGTGAGGTCCTAGATGTTCAGAGAGTGGTGGCTCACAGTGGCTCCTCCCGGCCTCTGAGTCCGTCAGATCACATGCGAGTTTTTGTTTGTTTTTGATGGTTATCGACAATTGCTCAGATTCCATCCCTGATGGTGAGTCAGCGAGTCCGAGGGCGCAGACCATTGCAGTCGGCCGTGGAAGCCGCTGGCCTCTAGTTTTGTAGGACTCTTTCTGTCAGATGTCTAGTGGGTTACTGAGCAAACGTGTATCTCTCTGTTTATCTGCCTTTTTGTTGGTGTTAGAGTTCTTTGGGGAAAGAACCTTAAGACGGGACATGCTATCCTGCTCACTGGATTGTTCCCAGCTTCGTTTGAAATCATAGGATGCACGGTTTCCATGTGCTTTGTTTTTGTTCATTGTTATTTTGCTTTAAGTAGGAAACACATTTGCAGGTTGAATTATGGTACATTTAATTTTCCTGTCCTCGTTTGGTCGTTTTGAAGGGGACCTTCTATTTGATGGAGAGATCTTTTGCTCGTTGAACAGCTGCAGTGTGCCATGTGCTTGCATGCATATGGTGTGTCCTTCAACCTTTTTAGGAACCCTGTGAGGAGGAACTGATATCTTCATATTTTTAAATGAGCCCCCGGAGGCTCAGAAAGTTTTAGTGACTTGCTCAGCATCTCCTAAATGATGGAGCCAGAATTTGAAGCCAATGTGTCTTCTCCCAAAACCCCAGCCCCTGGCAGCAGGGCCGTGGAGTGGGAAGGCCTGAGCTCAGACACATGGAGTTAACCTTTGCCGTCTGTGATGGCGGTCCAGCGTAAGAAAGCTGGATTTGTTAGGCGACTGAAATGCATGTGCGTGACTTCAGCGGATTAAGCATGCACTGGCTTGCAGCAGTCAAAGATGGCAGGGGAGACTGCACTTGCTAAAGCCTGCGGTCAGTTAAGATTCAGGGCCTACTGCTCTCTCCCATGCTTCTCCGGCTTCCTCCCCCAGACCCTGTCAATGAGCCAGAAGGTGGTAGTTTATCCTGTGAGGACGTCAGTCAGTGGAAGCGCCCTCGTAGCAGAAATCGAACTCCTGACGGGCGTTCCACCCAAATAAAAGCTGTCTATCTTTAGAAACACAAATTTTGGCGATCTCACCTGAATGCTCTTGGATGCTCAACTGCCTGTGCCCGTTTCTTGAGTAGCATTTGTGATCTCCCAGTAGAAATACATAACTTTTATTGCGTTCCAACTGAGACAGCCCAGAGTTCCTCATTTCTTCTGAAGCTCAGTGCTAAGCCTTCTTAGCCAGCCCAGGAAAGTCACAGCAGTCCGATGTTTGGAAACCAAGTTGGTTTTCTCCTACCTTCGTTTTTTTCTGTCTATGCTAGGTTTTATTTAAGGAATCAGAGACTGAAAAAATTTACTGCAAAAGATGCCCAAGTTGTCTTTATTGTTTGTTTTTAATTTTGTTGTATGTTTGTTTCAACAGTTGAGGGGAAAAAAGCCCCCACTAGCGTCCAGCGGGGTTACAGGAAAAGGGAAGACTCTGAGCAACCAGCAGAAGAAAGCCGATTCGGCAGCCAGCGTGAAGCGCACGCCGTCGAGTAAGTGGATCCTTTGGTTTCCTGCGTCCTGGGTTTAGGTGCATTTGCAGAGTTGGTGCTGTCTGAGCCATCTTCTCTCCTCACCTGCCCGGGTAGAGGATGCCGGCAGTGAGGGTGTGTCAGAGAGATGGAACTCTGCACTGTCATCCTGCCTCATTGGCTGGACTGAACAGTGGCGACGGGGCCGGCCCCGTGGGCAAGTAGTTAAGTTCATGCGCTCCACTTCGGTGGCCCAGGGTTTTGCCGGTTCGGATCCTGGGCACAGACATGGCACCGCTCATCAGGCCACACTGAGGCAGTGTCCCGCATGCCACAACTAGAAGGACCTGCAACTAGGATATACAACTATGTACCGGGGGGATTTGGGGAGATAAAGCAGGAAAAAAAAAAAAAGAGTGGCAACAGTTGTTAGCTCAGGTGCCAATCTTTAAAAAAAAAAAAAGAGTGGCAGCGATTTTCATAACCCAGCTTTTATGTCTGTGATATAAAAGGGAAATCAAAGCTGGTTTGTTACCTGTGGAATTGGTTGAGCCTAGTTAAGTGCCGGTTTGTTAACTGTTAACCGGTTGAGCATATTGAAGTGTGAGGCGACTGCAGGTTCAGGCGGCCCTGGACTGTGGGTCAGGACACCGCGGTTTGCGTCCCTGATCAGTTGGTGACTTAGTGACTTTGGTCAAGCTACATAAACTCTCTAAACTCAGTTTCTAGACGTTAGAGGTGTAGACCAGTGGCCACTGTGGTTTCTTGTTAGAAATAGTTGAGGTGACAATCGTACCTCAAAGCACTAGAGAAATGTAAGGATTTCTAAGGAGTCCTCGTTCCTGCAGTGCTCTGTATTCGACAGGAAGCTGTTGTTATGTACTCCTGTTTAATTCCCATAGCCAGTTTTATAAGAGCAGGCATTATCATCCAGCCCATCGTACAAACGTGGAAATAAACTCTGAGACATTCAGTGTCTTCCCCAAGGTCGCACAGCTGGCACATAGCAGAACCAGAGTGAGAACCAGGTTTTCAGACTCCAGATCTGGCAGGGGACAGACTGAGCAGAGAAGCGGTAAGACACAAGGACAGACTCAGCCGCCCCTGTGTGCAGAGGGCCGGGTCGGGGCTGCTGTTGTCTGTGTCTGTCTGCCTCGGCCCTGTGGTGCAGAGCCCTGCTCACCCAGCGCGCCAGGCAGCGTCAGCATCAGGGCACGCTGCCCCTTGCTGCGGTGCAGCAGTCAGACAGAGGAGCTGCTCCGGCCTCGGAGAGACACACAGAGGCGGGGAGGCAGGCGTCCAAGCTGCAGCACGGGCTTTCACCAAGGTCAGGGGCTCTGAAGTCGGCCTGGGCACGTCAGGGCAGCTTTCCAGGGAGGAAAATGTGCGTTAGGCTCCAGTGGTGAGTTTGATATGGTCACTCAGGAAGTGACAAATTTGGCTCAGAGTAACTGGTGGACCAGTCTCCACGTTCATGAAGACAAGGCCAGCTGGTCACTTAGTGACCTCTACGCCAGGTGTTCTTGGTCCCTAAATTGCGGACCTCCCTGTGTTTGCACTGTGATTCAATCTCAGAGTTAGAGAGGACGCACGGCGGGTGGAGAGGCCGGCTTCGTCCTTGGCCCTGTGCGTGCACGAGGCTCGGACCTGCCCAGCGGTACCGGGCTGCCTCGGCCCCACGGAGACCAGTGTTCCCCACACGAGCTCCTCCACACCCCCGCCCTCCTCAGGTGCACAGTTCAAGCAGACGGGGAGCCGGCTCTGTCAGGTCGCCGTCGTCCTAATTCATTCAGTTTCGACCTTAGCTTTCTGCAAATCTTATTTCCCTAAGGCAGTTGTGTATGTTTCTATCTGCGTCCATTTTTAGTTTGGTTCACTTGGGGAGGGGAGGGAGGGCTAACCTGTGCCTGAGAGCTTCGTTGAGCGGGGCCTGAACCACACGAAACCTCTGCTCCCAGAGCCTTCTCTCTCAGGACCCCCGCTTGTTTAATTTCCTGGAGGGCTTATTCCTTTATTTTATGAGACTTTCTGTAGGGGATTTTTGTTAACTTTGGTGACATCTAATGGTGACAAAAGAGAAAAACTTACATTCTGTGTTTTTGCTGAATGTAGCCAGTTGCATCATAGACTGGATGGCGTTTATTGCATGGGGACCAAAAGATGGGGAAATGTGTAGGTTATGGCATGCGGGTTTGCTGAGGAAACTTGGCAGATTGGAAGCGAGTGGATAGAGTCTGGACTTTGCCTGTTGGCAGAACGTGTTGTTACCCTGGCCGCCACTAGCCGGGCTTCTGTTTCAGATTGTTGATTTGGTTAGCCCCACGATGCCATCCTTTGAATGTCATTCTCTGTGTGCTTTCTTCTGGTTTTTGGTGAGAGGAAATTGAGCGGGAAGTGGTGACTTTGTACCCGCCTTGATAAGTGCAGCCCTTCATTGCAATCACAATGGGGGCATTGCAAGAACTCACGAATCCAGCCTTTGCACTGGCGCTAGAGATGGCTCACGTTGTCACTGATGGACAGGGCTTGGGGACTCTGTTCTCACTCACAGTGATTAGAGCCGCCAGTGAGTGTCCCCCGTGTCCCATGCGTCACGTGGTTTTGTTAGGGTTTTAGGGTCATGTGTCAGATTTCTTTAAAAACCCACAGGGAGGCGTGTGTGTGCTGCATAGAGGATGAAGCTAAGGCTCAGGGAGATGACTTGCCTGCCCAGAGTCAGGGCCAGCTCGCTGTCCAGGGCCTTTGTCATCAGCGTCACGCCACGCTCCACGTCTTCTACCCGGAAGGCGTTTCTAGTCTAGCGAGGGAGCCGGACGTGCAAATGGACAGCCGTGGAGCACTGTGGGCCGGGCCATCTGGGCAGCCTTGGGCCCTGACCGGGTGGGAGGGACTGGCTGTTAGAGGCAATCGGGAGACACTGGGGGCTTTGAAGTCGGGGTCCTTGAGCAGTCTTGTTGGCCACCGCGTTTCTTCATCTCTTCCATGTGTTTTTGCAGAAAGGTTTTTTTCTAAGTTATTATTATCAAAAAGCCAGTGTAATCAGAGGGAAAGAGCACAGGGTCAGGATTTTAATGTGATATTAACTAGTCGTGTGATGTTGGCCACGTCTCTAAATTTTCCCTGAGACTAATTTCCTCTTCATTCGTCCATCCATTCATCTTGTTGAATGAGCGTATATGTAGTGCTCATTTTGTGCTTGTTCTGAGTGCTTTGTAAGTTTGAATTTAATCCTCCTGACAGCCCTACACAGTCCCTGCTCTTAGCGTCCGCATTTCACGGTTGAGGAAACTGAGGCACAGAGAGGGCAAGTCTCTTGTTCAAGGTCCTGCAGCCACAGTGGGAAGCTGGGACTCAAACCTAGCCAGCTGGGCTCCACACGCTCCTCGGGGGCTGCCTCTCGGACACCCATTTGTCCCTTCCTTCTCTCAGCCGACGTTTACTGTGTGCTCAGTCCGTGCCGGCTGCTGGTCTCCGCGGAGGGAATGGCTGCCATCAGGTCAGCAGAACGGTCGGACAACACCCTCGTAAGGGTCAGATGTGACAGCGCCGTGCAGTGTTCTGAAGAGTCCAGGGCACCACGCACATTCGAGAGATTGGGTTGATGCCGACAGGCTGTCTACTTTCAGATTATAGAACATTTGCTCTCAGCTCTGCGGAGGGTTGTAAGCTGCAGCCCTCAAAGGGAAGTGAATTAAAGGAATGTCCTGATGTTCTGTTTTCTGTTTTTTAAATTAGATTAGAAGAGCATTGGTTAATTTGAACCAGTCACTTTTCTATTTGGTTCAAACGGGTCTGTTCTTTTTCTTGTTGAGTTAGCAAAATAACTAGCTTTGAGTTGATTTCACTGAGCTGGCTGATTAGACAGGCTTTATGAATTACCCTATTATCAGCTTTTTGAAACCTGATTTCCTATTGTTGCTTTTTTTTTAAAGATGCTGACCAGTACAAATATGGCAAGAACCGAGTCGAAGCAGACGCCAAGCGGTTGCAGACCAAAGAGGAGGAGCTGCTGAAGAGGAAGGAGGGCCTGCGGAACAGGCTGGCGCAGCTCCGGAAGGAAAGGAGAGACCTGCGGGCTGCCATCGAAGTGAACGCGGGTACGCGGGCTGGTTGCCACTGGCTACATTTCCTCCTACTCTGCCCGCAGGGTCTGTGGCTCATCCAGCTGTCATCTTAGTGTAAGGCTGCGTCCTTCCATGCAGAGCTGCTTGGAGCCTGGAAGCCCAGGCAGGTGCCACGGTGGTGGAGTGACGGAACAGCAGGAGGCCAGGACTGGCCCTGGCCCGGCTCACTGAGGCAGGGGGTGCCAGGGAGCTGTCCCCGCCCCGGGTGCTGACAGCTCAGGTTGTCTGCAGCACAGCCCTCCAGCCTCAGGGCTCAAGAGTATCTGCTCACTGTGCACAGTGAGGCGGCTGGGTTTCCCGGCAGGAGCACAGTCCACAGGGACGGGTGACATCCACAGACCCGGGCGAGAGGTCTCTGCATGGTGGAAGGAGCCGTCCATGCCCTGAGAAGGGGCTAGTGAGAGCAAGACAGTGTCTGACTCCTTGGGAGGGATCAAGGGGAGACACCAAGTTAGTGGAAACGACCCCCAAAGACGAAGGTGGAGTAAAGGGGTCGAGAGAACCAAGCCGGGAGCTGGGAGCCGGGAGCCGGGAGGGTGTCTCCGGGCCAGGCTCGTTTCTTCCTGCCGTCGGGAGCCAGGCCAGTGGTTCCCGGCTCTGGGGCTGGAACTGCTTCAGTCTAAATTGCCTCAGCTCAGGGCCGGTTCTTATCCGGGGGTGAGGCTGACCCTTCAGAGTTGGCTTTTGCTGGCCTTGGTGAGGGGCGGGAAGCAGGGAGGAGTGCCAAGCGGGGAAGCAACCAGGAAGACTCCTGCTTGCGGGCAGCTCACCGTGCGGGGCGGAGGGGCCTGCAAGCACATGAAACAGCCCGTCAGCACTTGGAGCCTGTCCTGGCTTTGTGCGTAAAGGACTTTTGTGAAAGGAAGTGCTTTTGGAGTATACAGAATGGGAGGCTAGGTGTAGGCGGGGTGGATTTGAGATAAGGAGGAGGCAAGATGTGACCTGTGGCACAGGCCGCCTGGGAGGAATCCAGGGCTTGTTAGAGAATTGGATAGGAGTTTTTACGTCAAGATGACAGAAGTAGAATTCCTTCCTTCTGTTGTTTCCATTTTGCCACATAGCGAAGATGCGGAAAGATTAGACGAGCTTTTGGCCTCAAAAAAGAGGCCTTCACGTGCTCCCGAGCACTAGACCAGGGCCACGCACTCAAGTCAGTTAAGCTCTTGGAATCAGTTTTCTTATCTGTCCAATGGGTACATTACCTGCCTTCGTATGTCACTGTAACACATTGCAAATAAAATAAATAAGCAAATGTGCCTTAAAAAACATATTCCATGTTCTGTAGAGACGCAAGCTGTGGTATAGTTTGACCATCCAACAGTAAGATGAGTCAAGAATAATGGGCAGAAGAATTAGAACGGAAGAATACCCAGACTTTCCAAGTGAGTGGCACCTTTGGAAGCCAAGTGGATTGAGCCCCCATTTTTAAATGAGTGCACGGAAGCCCAGACGCAGAACTCCTCAGCTTTGTGAGAATCTGCGTCGTGCGCTTCCTGGTCCGTATTCTTCCAGCTGCAGCCAAGGAAAGTGATTAGAAAGGGACTCTGTTCCTTTAAAGAACAGCTGAATTTGAGTTCTGTAGAAAGGACCCAAGTCAGGGAGCTCAAGCTGCAAGTTCCACACGCTCCCTTTAGGGGCACCAGTGTCCTCCCTTGTTTTGAAATCCTTGCCTGCGGTTGGAGCAATGGCCTCTCTCTGGGCTTTCAGGTAGGAAGACCCAGGTGATTCTGGAGGATAAGTTGAAGAGGCTGGAGGAGGAGTGTAAGCAGAAGGAGACGGAGCGCGTGAACTTGGAGCTGGAGCTGACAGAGGTCAAGGAGAGCCTGAAGAAGGCCCTGGCAGGCGGCATTACTCTGGGGCTGGCCATCGAGCCCAGATCGGGGACATCGAGTCCACAGGTAATGTCCTGCCAGCTCTCCTAGCAGCTGTGTGGTCATGGGCGTCCAGAGAAAATGCTCAACTCATTTTCTGAAGTGGCTGCTCATCATCGCCTGGTGTCAGCACAGCAGATGCACAGTTCATCTGTCAGCTTCCAGAACTTTCCTCAGCTGTGCTTTCAGTTCACTGACACTGAATTTTCTTCTCTCTTTCTCTGAACTTTTTTTTTTTATTGAGTTATTGATAGGTTACAATCTTGTGAAATTTCAATTGTACATTAATGTTTGTCAGTCGTGTTGTAGGTGCACCACTTCACCCTTTCTGCCCACCCCCCACCCCACCTTTCCCCTGGTATCCACTAAACTGTTCTTGGTCCATAGTTTTAAATTCCTCATATGAGTGGAGTCATACACAGATTATCTTTCTCTCGCTGGCTTATTTCACTTAACATAATTCCCTCAAGGTCCATCCATGTTATTGCAAATGGAATGATTTTGTTCTGTTTTACAGCTGAGTAGTATTCCATTGTATATATGTACCACATCTTCTTTATCCATTCGTCTGTTGATGGGCACTTAGGTTGCTTCCACGTCTTGGCTATTGTAAACAGTGCTGCAATAAACATTGGGGTGCACAGGACTTTTGGGATTGCTGACTTCAGGCTCTTTGGATAAATACCCAGTAGTGGAATGGCTGGATCGTATGGTAGTTCTATTTTTAGTTTTTTGAGGAATCTCCATACTGTTTTCCATAGTGGCTGCACCAGTTTGCATTCCCACCAGCAGTGTATGAGGGTTCCTTTTTCTCCGCAACCTCTCCAACATTTGTTGCTATTAGTTTTAGATATTTTTGTCATTCTAACGGGTGTAAGGTGATATCTTAGCGTAGTTTTGATTTGCATTTCCCTGATGATCAGTGATGATGAGCATCTTTTCATGTGCCTATTGGCCATCAGTATATCTTCTTTGGAGAAATGTCTGTTCATGTCTCCAGCCCATTTTTTGATTGGGTTGTTTGATGTTTTGTGGTTGAGTTGCGAGAGTTCTTTATATATTAAGGATATTAAGCCTTTGTCAGATATATGACTTGCAAATATTTTTTCCCAGTTAGTGGGTTGTTTTTTTGTTTCAATCCTGTTTTCATTTGCCTTGAAGAAGCTCTTTAATCTGATGAAGTCCCATTTGTTTATTCTTTCTATTGTTTCCCTTCTCTGAGAAGGCATGGTGTCCGAAAAGATCCTTTTAATACTGATGTCAAAGAGTGTACTGCCTACGTTTTCTTCCAGAAGCCTTATGGTTTCAGGTCTCACCTTTAGGTCTTTAATCCATTTTGAGTTTATTTTGGTGAATGGTGAAAAAGAATGGTCAATTTTCATTCTTTTACATGTGGCTTTCCAGTTTTCCCAGCACCATTTGTTGAAAAGACTTTCTTTTCTCCATTGTATGCCCTCAGCTCCTTTGTCAAAGATAAGCTGTCCATAGATGTGTGGTTTTATTTCTGGGCTTTCAATTCTGTTCCATTGATCTGTGCACCTGTTTTTGTACCAGTACCATGCTGTTTTGATTACTGTAGCTTTGTAGTATGTTTTGAAGTCAGGGATTGTGATGCCTCCCGTTTTGTTCTTTTTTCTCAGGATTGCTTTAGCAATTCAGGGTCTTTTGTTGCCCCATATGAATTTCAGGATTCTTTGTTCTAATTCTGTAAAGAATGTCATTGGGACTCTGATTGGGATGGCATTGAATCTGTAGATTGCTTTAGGTAGAATGGACATTTTAACTATGTTTATTCTTCCAATCCATGTACATGGAATGTCTTTCCATCTCCTTATGTCGTCATCCAATTCTCTCAGAAACGCCTTGTAATTTTCATTATATATGTCCTTCACTTCCTTAGTTAAATTTACCCCAAGGTATTTTATTCTTTTTGTTGCGATTGTGAATGGTATTGTATTCTTGAGTTCTTTTTCTGTTGGTTCATTACTGGAGTATAGAAATGCTACTGATTTATGCAAATTGATTTTATACCCTGCAACTTTGCTGTAGTTGTTGATTACTTCTAACAGTTTTCCAATGGATTCTTTGGGGTTTTCTATATATAAGATCATGTTGTCTGCAAACAACGAGAGTTTCACTTCTTCCCTCCCTATTTGGATTCCTTTTATTCCTTTTTCTTGCCTGATTGCTCTGGCCAGGACCTCCAGTACTATGTTAAATAAGAGTGGTGATAGAGGGCATCCTTGTCTCGTTCCTGTTTTCAGGGGGATGGGGTTCAGTTTTTGCCCATTGAGTATGATGTTGGCTATGGGTTTGTCGTATATGGCCTTTATTATGTTGAGGTAGTTTCCTTCTATGCCCATTTTGTTCAGAGTTTTTATCATAAATGGCTGTTGGATCTTGTCAAATGCCTTCTCTGCATCTATTGAGATGATCATGTGGTTTTTATTCCTCAGTTTGTTGATGTGGTGTATCACGTTGATTGATTTGCGGATGTTGAACCATCCCTGTGTCCCTGGTATGAATCCCACCTGATCCTGATGTATGATTCTTTTGATGAATTGCTGAATTCTGGTTGCCAAACTTTTGTTTAGAATTTTTGCATCTATGTTCATCAGTGATATTGGCCTGTAGTTCTCTTTTTTCGTGGTGTCCTTGCCAGGTTTTGGTATCAGCGTGATGTTGGCCTCACAGAATGTGTTAGGAAGTGTTCCATCTTCCCTAATTTTTTGGAATAGCTTGAAAAGGATAGGTATTAAATCCTCTTTGAAAGTTTGGTAGAATTCCCCAGGAAAGCCATCTGGTCCTGGGGTTTTATTCTTTGGGATGTTTTTGATTGCTGTTTCAATCTCTTTCCTTGTGATTGGTCTGTTCAAAGTGTCTGCCTCTTCTTGAGTGAGCTTTGGGAGATTGTAGGAGTCCAAGAATTTATCCATTTCCTCTAGGTTATCCATTCTGTTGGCATATAGTTTTTTGTAGTATTCTCTTATAATCTGTTGTATTTCTGCAGAGTCTGTTGTTATTTCTCCTCGCTCATTTCTGATTTTGTTTATTTGAGCTTTCTCCCTTTTTTTCTTTGTAAGTCTGGCTAGTGGTTTGTCAATTTTATTTATCTTCTCAAAAAACCAGCTCTTTGTCTCATTGATCCTTTCTACTGCCTTTTTCGTTTCAATAGTATTTATTTCTGCTCTGATTTTTATTATTTCTCTCCTTCTTCTGACTTTGGGCTTCATTTGTTCTTTTTTCTCTAGTTCAGTTAGGTGTGCTTTAAGGTTGCTTATTTGGGATTTTTCTTGTTTGTTAAGATGTGCCTGTATTGCGATGAATTTTCCTCTTAATACAGCTTTTGCTGTATCCCATATGAGTTGGTATGGCATGCTATCATTTTCATTTGTTTCCAGGTATTTTTTTATTTCTTCTTTAATTTCTTCAATGATCCATTGCTTGTTCAGTAGTGTGTTGTTTAGTCTCCACATCTTTGTGCCTTTCTCAGCTTTTTTCTTGTAATTAATTTCTAGCCTTATAGCACTATGATCTCAGAAGATGCTTGTTATTATTTCAATTTTTTTAAATTTGTAGAGGCTTGCCTTGTTTCCCAACATATGGTCTATCCTAGAGAATGTTCCATGTGCACTTGAGAAGAATGTGTATTCAGCTCTTTCAGGGTGAAGTGATCTATATATGTCTGTTAAGTCCAATTGTTTTAGTTTTTCATTCAGCTCCACTATTTCCTTGTTGATTTTCTGTCTGGATGATCTGTCCATTGACGTGATTGGGGTGTTGAGGTCTCCTACTATTATTGTGTTCTTTTTAACATCTTCCTTTAGGTCTGTTAATAGTTGCTTTATGAATCTTGGTGCTCCTGTGTTGGGTGCATAGATATTTATAAGCGTTATTTCTTCTTGATGAAGTGTCCCTTTGATCATTATATATTGTCCCTCTGTGTCTCTCTTTACCTGTCTTATTTTGAAATCCACTTGGTCTGATATGAGAATTGCAACCCCTGCCTTTTTTTCCTTGCTATTTGCTTGAAGTATTGTCCTCCACCCCTTCACCCTCAGTCTGTGTTTGTCCTTGGGTCTGAGGTATGTTTCCTGGAGGCAACAAATTGTTGGATCTTGTTCTTTAATCCATTTTGCCACTCTGTGTCTTTTTATTGGAGAGTTCAATCCGTTCACATTGAGAGTGATTATTGATGCATGTGGACTTAATGCTGTCAATCTGTCGCTCATTATCTTGTTTTCCTGCATGTCCTTTCCTGTGTGCTTTAGACTACCCATTTAATACTGCAATTTCTTATGCTGGGTTTCTTAGATTTTTCCTTATCTATGATTTGTGACTCTGTTCTGTACTTTATTTTAGTGTCTACCTTGAAGTTTGTATTTAGAATCTCGTGTATAATATAGTCTATTCTCTGGTGGTCTCTTACTTACTCGACCAATACTGATTTAGACCCTTTGCTCTTCCCCTCCTAAATAATTATTTTCATTTTTTATTCCAACTCGTCTTATTAATTTGTAGTTAGAGTGCTAAGATCGTCCTTGTTTTTGTAGTTTCCTTATTTTTACCCTAATGCTATAGTTGAATATTTGCTATCCTGTTCTGGTTCTATCCATCGGTCTCCCTAGTCTGTGGATTGTGTCCCCTTTCTCCCTTTTTTCTTTTTTCAAGTATGAGAGCCTTCTTGAGGATTTCTTGTAATGGAGGGCTTTTAGTTAGAAATTCCCTTAACTTTTGTTTGTCTGGAAAAGATTTAATTTCTCCCTCATATATGAAGCAAATTCTTGCTGGATAGAGTATTCTTGGCTGAAGGTTTTTATCCTTTAAAGCTTTGAATATATCACTCCATTCTCTCCTAGCTTGTAGGGTTTCTGTAGAGAAATCCGCTGACAGTCTGATAGGGGCTCCTTTATAGGTTATTCTCTTTTTTTTTCTTACTTCCCTGAGTATTCTTTCCTATTTGCCAACTTTACTACTATGTGCCGTGCGGTGGGTCTTTTTACATTGACAAATCTAGGAGATCTAAAACCCTCCTCTACACACATTTCTCTGTTGATCCCTAGATTTGGGAAGTTCTCTTCAATAATTTCGTTAAGCACACTTTCTGCTCCATTTTCCTTTTCCATATTCTTGGGAATTCCTATGATCCTTATATTCTTACTCCTCATTGAATCCATTATCTCTCAGAGATTTTCCTCATTTTTTTAAATTCTTAGTTCTCTTTCTTCCTCTGTCTGGCGCCATTCAGCCTGTCTGTCCTCGATTATGCTAATTTTCTCCTCTGTGTTGTCTACACGGGCATTCAGGGAATCCGTATTCTGTTTTATCTGGCCCATTGTGTTTTTCATCTCAAGTAATTCTGTTTGATTCTTCTTTATGATTTCAATCTCTTTTGTGAAGTAACTCCAGAACTCGGCTTGTTTCTCTATCTTTCTCTCTACCTCATTGAGTTTTTTGATTATAGCTGCTCTGAATTCATTATCACTTCGTTTACCTAATTCCAAGTCCTCAGGACTTAATTCTGTGTTTTTATTGTTTTCCTTCTGGTCTGGGGCTTTTATAAATTGCTGGATGGTAGAGGAGCGGTTTTTTCTCATGGTGGTAGAGTTCAGTTGCAGTTACAGCCTGTCGCCACTAGATGGGGGTCGAGAGCGGCGTGTTATGAGCGCTCCGCCTTCGGGGCAAGATGGCTGCGCCCACTGGCTTTGCTGGGGGGGAGGGGCTGTTACTCACACGCGTGGGTCTGGATTCAGATCAGTTCTGTTCTCTGGTCTCCCAAGGCCCTTGATTTATAGGGTCCCCGCGGACGGAAGCTTTCCCCCCGTCAGCGGGTCTCCACTGAATCAGGGGCAGGAGTCCTGGATGATCCCCAGGTCGCGCGGCCCCTCCCCCGCTCCTTCCCGACCCCGCCGCAGCGATCGCAGAGTCTAGGGGAGGGAGCAACGTTCTCTCCTACTGTTCCAGCGCCTCCGAAGGTGTAAGCAAGGTTTATGATCTCCGCCTTCTTGGTACTGTAGGTCTCTAACGAGCTGGCATTATGTTTATTCTCTGAAATTCAGTTCTTCCAATCTTTTGTTGTATTTTGGAGGGGAGAGACTCCCAGGTCAGCTCACCCCGCCATTTTGCTCCTCCCACTCTCTTTCTCTGAACTTTTTAAAAGGTGGTGGGAACACTGAGTCTGTTTTCCTCCCCTTCGCAGAGTCTGATTATAATTGGTGCAACTCTTTTTATCTCCTTGGAATCACATCCTAATTTGATGCCAGTTCATTAGAGAAACTAATTCAATGTAGCAGATTCTTATAAAATGTCCAGCGAGTCTTGAGAACTCTGCCAGGTGCTGGGGAAGTGGGAATGAATGTTTCAAAACACAGTCTGTACCCTCTTAGAATCTAACAGGACGGATGGAGATCGCTCTTCAGACATGAATTAGCACCCTCAGTGGTTTACCGTTCCCTCTCATCTGAGAATTTACTGTGGTCTTTTTCACGGGATTATTCCATCAAATTCTCTCTACCTGTGAGTCTGATGTAATTGCTTCCATTTTACACATGAGGAAGCTGAGGCCCAGACAAGTACAGTGAAGTGCCTGAGAGCACACAGCTGCCCCAGCACAGACCTGAACTGAGCCCCTTCCTTCTCTGCTGAAGTCCCAGATGTCTCCCCTCCCCCGCACCCCACCAGCACCCCAAATGCTGGCATGTCGGGTCCTTCTTTCCAACCCCCTTGGCAAAATACCCAGCCTGGCTGAGGTCCCCAAGGCCCCTCCCAGGAGTCCTGGATGGGTTTACGGACGTGCAGCACCGCCGAGTCCCGGCCTCCCCTCACCTCGCCCAGCAGCCCAGCTGCCTCGCCGTCCTCGCCTCATGCTGCTGTCCTCCACAGACGCTGTCTCAGAACTCCTCCCTTCTCCTGCAAACCCCAGTGCCCCGGCCCCTCCACCGGGCGGCCTCCCACTTCAGAAGATGGCCTCCTTGCACTTGCAGAGTAATAATCAAGCCGCGAGGTGGAGCTGCACCGGTCCCCCGCCGCCAGCTGGGCCGCCCTTCCTTTGGCCGCGGCAGGGCAGCGTTTGGGAAAGCAGACTCTAGGCTCAAACAGGCCAGGCTGCGGGGTTCTGCACCTTCTCTGGGCCTCGATGCTTTCCATCTGTGAAACAGGCATCATCATATTGCTGACCATGTGGGGCGTGTGTGTGAACACTCCTGTCGCAGCGCCCAGCCAGAGAAAGTGTTCGTCCACTCATGTGTTCGTTAGTTTGTATACTCAGTCATCCATTCCATAGGTTTCATATTTATGCACACATGCTGTGTTCCTGTGTGCCAGGAACTGCCGTAGGCACACGGCAGCCAGTGTGACCATGCGAGTGCGTCTTTGTGGAGCTCGTGTTCCAGTGAAGGACCTGGACAGTAAAGTGTGTGCTGTCAGATGTTGCTATGTGCTCTGAAGGCAGCACAGCAGTGGGGCGGGGGGCGTAGTGGAAAACAGAATCCAGGGGCATCTCTGTCCAGCAGAAACTGGGACCAAGGGCATAAGCAGCCAGTGCCACCTGGACAGAGGTGGTAAGGCTGTGGGCTCCCCCCGGTGGGCGGGGTCCTTCCTCGCGGCATACAGACTTGTGGGCCCTGGTGACCCTCGTCAGAGGTGGTCTGGAGGCAGGACACCTCTCGGACCCCTGGGCCTCTTGAGCTCCCTGGAGGGCGTCTGAGAAGCTGCCAGCATCGTCATCCCGGGCCCCCCTGGAGTACAGGTGCTGGGCTCTGGTGCCAGTCTCTCCTGACTTCCTCCTCTATCTTCAGCTTGGCCGGCTCCCTTCAAAGCATTTAAAGATTCTCTGCCATGTTCCGGCTTAAAAAAGCCATTCCGCCTTGGCCCCACATTCCCCTCCGGTCACTGCCCTGTGCTTCACACCTTCCCATCCAGAGTGAACTGCTGGAAACAGTTGTCGCCACCCACAGTGCCCAGTTCACCCACTCATCCTTGGCTCGCTAAGGTCTGGCTCCTGCCTGAACCTGCCTTCGCCGAGGTTGGCCTCTGAACCTAAATCCTTACCTCTCGGGTCAGACGTCTGGGCCTGGCTAGTGGCTTCCTGTCTGTGGCGACCCCACACCCCCCTGGGTTTCGCCCTCTCCCAAGGCTTCCCTCTTGGCCCCTTTTGTCAGCTCTTCCTTCTTTCTTTCAGCCCAAATGGCCCAGCTCGTCCTTCTGCAGGCGCAGGGCCGGTCTCCTTGAGCTGCCTGCCCGCAGACCCTGGGGCTCGGCTGCTCCTGTCTCCCGAGAACGTCTCCTTGGACTTTGGTTGCCATCACCTGCCCGGTGTCGCAGCTGTGCATGCTCTTCCGGCCTGACCGCATCCTTGGCATGGTGGTGCGTTGGACGCATTGTCCCAAAGGCATGTCGGTGCCACCTGCTCAGGAGGTGGCCTGGCCTCTGCCAGAGACGGATGGTGGTGTTCTGGCCTGTTTCCCAAACCCTCCGACCCCCATGCCCTCAGGCCCACGCTGCCTTTCAAAAGCATTCCCAAGTAAAGAGAACCCGAGTACGGCGGCTGCGTGGGGTCTGTAGTCAGTAGCCCTCAAGGGGATGCTCAGTGACCTATTTTAATGGCCATGGAAACACTGTTCCCCTAAAGCAACGTGTGTCTGAGCGAACCCAGGTTTTTGAGTTACGATTACCCAGTAGCAACAGGGAGCCCTGCTCCTCAGAGACTCCACTTGGGTGGGCAGCTAATCGCCAACGCTCTTCCCACAGAGCAGCTTGCAGTCTTGTAGGGAAGAACCAGGGGGCGGTCTGGGCCACTGAAGACGCGTTTGTTCCATTTTAAGTCTTGCTGAAAACGCCTTCCCCTGACATACAGACTCTGCTGTGACAATCAGAGAGCCGTGGTGGTAGTCTGCTCGGGGGGCCCCGCCAGCCACTGCCTGTGCGGCTGGTTTGTAAGCTCGCACTCCACGCTGCCGCTGGCCCTGGTCGCCAGCGGCTCTGCAGCCTGGGTGTTTCAGATGTGAGAGCTGTAGAAATTAGAAAGACCTCGACCTCGGAGGCTGCGTGATACGGCTGGAAGAGCCGGAGTGAATACAAAAGACATGGACGGAGTCGCTCCTTCCCCTGTCCCAGCCGCGACTGGCAGGTTAGAGCATCGCTCTGAGCCTCAGTCTTTCTGTCTGTAAAGTGGACGTTTCGAAGGTGCTCTCCAAATCAGGCACTGACTACATGGTGGTCCTTATTATTGTGGTTATTTTTTTTTCTATTTCCAAAACCCATTTTTTCTTTAAGCTACTTTCCTTCTGGAAAATACTGATGACCTGGAAATCATACCTCACATGAGTCTTCTCTTTCCATTAACAGTCTCCGGTTTTTAGGCATCGGACTCTGGAGAACTCGCCCATGTCCAGCTGCGAAACCAGCGATGCAGAGGGTCCCGTGCCGGTGAATAGCGCGGCCATCCTCAAGAAGAGCCAGCCGGCCGCCAGCAGCTCGCCCTGCCGGGGGCACGTGCTTCGGAAGGCCAAGGTGAGCCCCGCCCCTCCCCGGGTAGGGGTTCAGGCGGCCCGGCCGTTCTCCCGCTTCAGGCTTTTGTGGGAGGGATGGGGGAGCTGCGCTGTCTTCCCGTTCCAGTTGGGACAGCCTGCTGTTAGATGCATCTCAGGACTGTTTACCAAGCTCTTCCCACAGCAGATGCTCCTTTAGGAACTGCCTCCTTTGGGAATTCAAAGGCAAAAAAGACCAGAACCTTAGAGGCATTTGTTGTCTGGTGCCAGGAAAACCAGCAGCTCTGCTTCCGTCTCAGAAGGGGCAGGACTCCTGGCTTCTCCTGACTTGATTATTTTTTTTCTTGAGGAAGATTAGCCCTGAGTGAACATCTGTTGCCCATCTTGCTCTTTTTTTGCTTGAGGAAGATTAACCCTGAGCTAACATCCGTGCCCATCTTCCTCCACGTTGTATGTGGGACGCTGCCACAGCATGGCTGATAAGCGGTGCTAGGTCCGTACCTGGAATCCAAACTGGTGAACCTGGGCTGCTGAAGCGGAGTGCACTGAACTTAACTGCTGTGCCACAGGGCTGGCCCCCTGGCTTGAATTCTTATTGGTGGAGTAGAGATTGGACCAGGTGACCACTAAGATCCTTTAAAAAAAATGTCCAGGCATAAGCCCCTCTCCAGCCCCTCCCCATGCCCGGCATTATAAATCCGCCATCTGAGGCTGCAGTAGGGTCCCTCTTGGGTCCATCCTGTGGTATCTTCTGGGCTTCTGATGGGACTGGCCACTAACAATTTTGTTTTTATTTTTGTTTTTTGAGGAAGACTGGCCCTGAGCTCACATCCGTGCCTCTCTTCCTCTACTTTATACGTGGGATGCCTCCCACAGCATGGCGTGCCAAGCAGTGCCAAGTCCACATCCAGGATCGAACCGGTGAACCCCAGGCCACCAAAGCGGAACGTGCGCACTGGGCCAACCCCCAGCCACTATCAATTTTTGATGCTAATCTTAAAAACTTCAGAAAATTTAAAGACCGATTTCTAGTTTATGAGACCAAACGTTGTTGACTGGGGTCACTGAAAGTGTCTCACACAAACATCCGTACTTGGCACAAGTGCGCTCATTCGTCCCGATGAAGTTCATGGGCCTGACGCACCTGGAGGCCAGGCGTCCACCCTCCTGGTCTCCGGGGCCTCGAATGCTGTCGCTACTTTGTTCTTTGGCAGCATTGGAACCCGTTCCAAATTGGCTAGAAATGCACTGTTTTCTGAAAGCAGGTCTGGTGTTAGAGAAGAGCATGAGTGCTCCCCGCTTGCTGTGTCTGGCGCATTCGCAGGAAGGTCCCCGGTGGCCGTGGTGATGGGCAGCGTCCCAGGATGTCCGTCCTTCGCAGCCAGTGCATTTGACGGCAGACTGCGTGTGGGTAGGCTGGGGGGAAAGAGGAATTAGTGTGTGTCGTTTCCGTTCCTTTCATTAGCATCCATCAGGTGCTGTCAGCTTGTAACTGTTAGGCTCTGTTCACAGAGGAGTGTGTTTTGCTGAGAGCTATTTAGGATTGAGCTGTCCAATAAAGTCCCCCTAATTATTTGCAGATGAGAAAGGCAGTAAAAGCATTTCATTTATTTGCTTTGTTTACTGTCAAAGAAATCAGGTTTACAATGATGCCACTCCAGCCTCGAAGGGGCTCGAGTTCCGGGGCAGCTCGCACTGTCCAGAGACGTGGGTGGTCTTCACTCCTGCCAGCTCTTGGTGTAGATGTGAAATGTGTGTTTACAGCCCACTCAGATGCACCGCCGGCCTCTGAGAGTGGCCCACACTCATGGGGAAGTGGCTGTCCCTGCTCACGGGTCCAGTCACACCGTGGAGGCATCCAGGAGCCTTGCCCGCAGCCTCACTAAGAGAATAGGATGGAGCAGGGCTTTTCTGGGATTCTTGAGAAAGGTGACAAGGCACCCACAACTCAGGGAGGGGGTGGTGGCCTGGCCGTTCCACTCTGGGAGCATCAGCCCACTTGCAGGGGCATCACACATGTGGTCTTGTCGGCCGGCCCCGCCTTTCTCTGAGGACCGGAGGAGTGTGACTCATTCTGGGCCCGGGAAGTGTCGTGCCAGGAGGTGTTCCTATGACAACCCCCAGATCCCAATGAGGAGCGCTCTGAACATGGGAGCGCGAGTCCGGAAAGTCGGACGCTTTCAAGGCCCCTGTCACAGGACTTCCTAGCTCAGAAGGGGGCTCAGAAGTGGCTGCTCCGGGCCCTCAGCCGGGGAAGCTGCGTGCACAGCTCCGGAAGCCCGGGCGCGGTGGCCGCGGTCCTGCGGTTCAGAGCCGCCGTGCCTGAGCGGTTCGGTGGGCTGGAACGTCAGGTGCCTGAAGGCGCTCACGTGTGGTTTCTTGTGGACAGTAGCTCAGTTTTGGTTTTGTTTCTGCCACGTTTGCTAATGCTGTGTTTTTAACCATTAATTAAGCTTGAACCTTTGGTTCTAGAAAAGGTGAGGAATTGGTAGTTTTGTGCACTATGCAAAGGTGTGCAGTGTACTCACGGCCCAGTTAATAAAGCCCTGGGAAGACAATGGGCGTCAGGCGTTTGCTTAGATCAGCCCTGCTGCACACAGTGCCACCAAGGGGGACAGTCCCTGCGCGGTGACCAGGCTGCACGGTCCAGGCCCTGTGGCGGGAACTTCCACACACGTCTTCTCCTTTGATGCTCAGCAGCCCTTCAGAGTCCTTGGTGGGACTCAGGTCGATCTGATTTCTGGATCACATGGTAACTCTATTTGATTATTTGAGGAACCACCATGCTGTTTTGCACAGCAGCTGAGTGCCCACACTTTTTGGGTCACAGACATCTGTGGGATGTGGCCTGACCCCCTACTGCTTTGATCTGTACCCCACTTCTCTGCTTCACTTGTTAGGAGTGGGAGCTGAAGAACGGGACGTAGAGGACCGCAGGACGGCTGCAGCGCGGGCCGGCGCCGCCCCACCCGACACCGGCGAGCGCGGGACGCCGAGGGCTCGGCAGCGGGCCGGGCGTTCCTGACCGGCTCGGACGCCCTCCCCGGCCCCGGCCCACGTGTATCCCTTCTACTGTGTAATGGTGCCCTTAAAGAAATTTACTGGTAACACTTTGGTTTCCAACTGTATCTGTTCAAAAACAAAAGGGATGAAAAGGTATTGTGAAAGAACCTGCAGCGGACGGAGAAGTGACGTCTCTCTACCCAGTGAAGTGAGCGCTCTAACCAGCCCAGCGCAGCCCCAGGCTGAAGCCGAATGGGGCAGCAGCCCTGGCCGAGACCCGGACGGGCGTGGAGGGGTGTGGGCCCGAGTGCCCGGGGCAGCCTCTCGGGCAGATCGTGACCCGTGGCTCTGGGATCGCTCGTCCGCCGGGCGCCCGGGACTTGTCACTGCGACGTGAACAGGAGGAACTCGTGTCCCAGCGCCTCCTCCCCACGTGCCTGTCCCCCTCGTCACTAGAGGTAAAAGGACGAGAAAATCACGCTGTGAAGCATTTTTTACCTTTTCGTTTTTTCCTTCTGGACAGATGCCTTTGTCATCAGGACATGAAAAGCTGCCAATCTTTCTGAAGTTTTTAAAGATCTCTTTTTTATTGTGTGTCGCACTTAGCTCCAAGGGTTTTCGGAGATTCTGTGTCGTATTTTGTGGATGATTTATACTGCTTCTGAAAGGCAGCCGTGTGCTTTTGATACTCCACTGATGTGTGTCCTTCTGCTTTTCCCCAAATCCCAAACCCTTTCTTCCCCTTCCCAGCCAGCGGGTGGCCCTCCAGAACTGGGCAGCCGCACAGCGGTCGTGGTTAGACTTACATCTGCAGGCCGTGTACCAATTGGGTTGTCAATCCTTTGAAAAGGAAGCAGGTTCTGGAAACTGCAGAACGTAACATCCTGGAGCAAGAGCAGGGCCCCGCCTGCTGCCTCTCCGCGCAGATCCGAGCGGCGTTCTCTCCGTACAGCGGGGCGGGCTCTCCTGCAGTCCTTGTCTGCCCGCTCTGTGTGTGTCTTGGAGCGATCAGACGCCCAGGCGTGGAGGGGACGGACGGGGCTCCTAGGTGGAGCTGGTTCCTACCCTGGGGGTCCAAGAGCCAGCCTAACTCTCCTTTGTCTCCAGAGGGACCCGCCTCCGGAGTTCTGGTTACGGGAAGGGTAGCCACCGCTGAGGACGTGAGTCAGGCCCCAGGAGGCTCTGCAGACTGGCCCAGGGGAGCGAGGCCACACGTGGAGAGCTCTTCCTGCCGAAGCAAGGACTGCCCGGTAGTGCCGTTTCGTCCCTCCCTGGAGCGTTCTTGGCAAATACAGGAGGAGACGGGAAACATTCTCCCGGTGCCTCCCCCGGGCGGCCTTTCCGCACGTGCTGGGTTGCCATGCCATCCGCAGGCCTTCCTGGTTAGGGGTCACGGTTGATGACTGCGTCCCCGAGCCCTGGGGGGGCTGTGTTTGATCTGACCCACTAGGGCAGGAAGCCGGCCTCCAGCGCACAAGGAAGTTTGACAGCCGGAATTGGCAGCTGTTTAAGAGGCGTCCCGCGACACTTGAATTGACTGCAAAGCCATCTGCCAGGAGCGTTTGGGCTCGTGGGCGGTCGGCTGGCGCTCTCGCTCCACAGCCCCTTTCCTTGCAGCTGAGCAGCTGAGGCGCGTCCACCAGCACCGCCGATAGCCCGGGAGATCGCAGGGGGAAGGCGGGAGGAGGGAGCCCGCCCTCGGGCCCATCTTCCCCGGCCCGTGGTTCTCCTGTCACCATAGGAAGCTGGGCCGCTCTGCATTGTGTGGAGCTCATTTCCTGTAAAGGGCAAAAAGTTTGATCACCGTAGGTTTTTGCTGCCTTCCAGCCAAAGTTTCTCCCCTTGAGCCTCCTGGGTCATTCTGATTGTCAGCCTCCTCTGCCCAGATGACTGCCGGGCTTCCGTCGTCGTTACGAAGGGAAAGCACGAGTAGCCTGCGCTCCCGACCCTGGCCCGGCAGGGTGGGCACTGCTGGGCTGGCGGCGGACCACTGGCAGAGCGTCCCCTCCACGGCACCCCGACCACCTCCACGGGCCGCCCCTGATAATGGCCAGTTGGTGCCGGAGGCAGGATTTGGGCCCTGGTCCTCAGACTCTGGGTGCACGTATTTTGTGTTTAAAAAACCCCAGTTTTTAGTTCATTCTAACTCACTCTCATAACCGTAAGCCTTTTAAAGAGAATGGTGAACTTAAACGAGTCCCGTTGTGTTCCACAGAGCCATTTAAAATGGGTCCCGGGGAGACGAGGCTGCCGACGCTGGCTACTGTGACAGCCTGCGTCTCCTCGAGGTTCTTAGATTTGATCAGAAAGTTAGTTTAAAGCATTTGCTTCAAAATAAGTTATTTATTTGTATATGTTCAATAAATATAGTTTTTAATTTATATCTGTACATATTAGACACACGTTAGACATCTTGTCGCAGTTCTGACAGTGATCTCATTTTCTTACCCTCCCAGCGCAGCCCTGTGGCCTCTGGGCGGCCGAGGGACGACTGTGAGGAGGCCGGCCAGGCGGGTGGGAGCCCAACCCCGGCCCTCACTGCGGGCAGGGCACGTGCCACGGGCGGGAGTCAGAGTCCGTTAGAAACGTCACCCATCCCTTTAATAGATGGCCATGTCCACAGAGTGCTGGCCAGACTGTACCAGGATCCTGACCCAAGGAGAGGCATGCGGTGGCCACACGGAGGGGCTGGCGTGAAGTGGCCACCTCTGCAGCTCACGGGCTCCCTTAGAAGCTGAGGCCACGTTGTCAGCCTCAGGGTCTGCTTCTGACTATATTTTGTGTCATCAACCTTCAAAATCCCCTCCGTTTTTGTATTTTTATAATGTTTTTTATTTACTCACCAACCTTTTGCACAGAAACAAAGCGATGGTCATGGTGCTTGCTGTGTCACCACTGAGCGGGGACATGTGGAGGCAATCGCCCTCCTCTGCCCAGAGTCCGTGGAGGGTCAGGCAGGGCCCATCTGTGTGCATCAGAGAAGCCAGCAGCGCCCTCGCCGGCCTCAGGCTGGGTCCACTGCAGGGTAGCCGGTCTGGGGAGTGGCCCCAGATGCCGGGACTCTCCCGTCAGATGGGCGTGGCCTCCCAAACGCGGATCTTTCCAGAGCTATTCTCTTGGGACTGACTCTGGGGACCGGTTGCCCGCCGTGTGTGTGACTCCGGTCTTGTCCCCTCCATTCCTACACCCTGGTGTTGCCACGCCTCGTCTTCCACCTTGTTCATTTCACTTGTCCCTGAAGGATTTTCAGCTATTTCCAAAAGCCCCGCTCGACTCGGAGACGTTGGAGATTTGCCGTCTTTTGCAAAGTCTGTTTCAGAAAGTTTGTGTCCTGGGTCCCGAAGGCCACCCTGAGGAAGGAGTCTCAGATTTGTTTCAATCGTGCCAACAGTTGGAGTTGGTGTACACGTTTCCAAGGGGACGGCTTTGAAGCTGCGGGTGGGCACAGGGAGCGTGGGCAAAACTCCTTTGTTTGCGGTCACATCTTTTCCTTCCAGAAGAGAATATTATCTCTGTCAACATGCTTCCCTGGGGGAAGTGTAAGTTTTGCCCACAGACCTGGCTCACCAGGCGGTGTCCTCTGCCTCTCTGCTCGGGCTTGGCTGCAGCCCAGCCTACGGCTGGCAGGGCCTGACTGACGGCCTCTCCCAGGAGCCCGGACCTGGCCAGCCCCGCTGCAGCGCGTGCACGGTCTCCCCAGTTCGCAGAAGGGGCCCGGCAACAGTGAAATGTGAAACTATTGCCTTCCTCTTTTTTCTAAAATAACTTTTTTAATAGGAAAAATAATTTCAAGCCATGGCATAGTTTTAAAGAGGGTAATTATTTGTTCCTGTTTTTATTACTGTTGTCTTCTTATCCCCACGATGGGTCGGGTTGATACTGTGAAATAAACTAAAAATAAAGAAAGATTCTGTGCCGTCTACACACACAGCATCACAATACAAGCAGAGCCACCTCTCAGTGGCCCCCCAAGTTGTGGGGGGGCTGCTGCCATCTGTGGAGGAGGAGACCTCACCCCCGGGAGCTGTTGGCTTCAGATGCATCCTTTTGCCCATCTTTTGTGAAATGTTTCCTGTTCATTCTTCCAGAAAAGCTCGACTTCACAATGTACAAGTATTATCAGGTATTTTTCATTGTTGCCATGAAAGATATTTTTGAAACGGGATCATCTGATCATAATTCTTAGGGACCAAAGGTGTTTTTAATAAGATAATCTTTGTATTTGATTTTCTAATGAGAAAGGAATTATTAACTTTAAACATCACCTTTTAAATTATAGATATTCATCGATTGACCGTGGCTATAAGTTGTAAAATGTTTTCATATTGAGAATGTAATTATTTCCTTATTGTATTTTTTAAAAACTAAAGTCATATTTAAAATTCTCTTTGAAAGAAGCAGACAAGAAACAGGAAGGATTTTTTAAATTAAATATGTTGGCAGTGCCCATTTTAAATGACTGTAAATAGATTTTCACTGTGTTTCTCAATGTATTTAATTCATAAAGTAAAAACTTTTACCAAAAGAAACTCGCGATGGAAATGGAAGTTTTCAGCCCATTTGCCCCATTCTGTAGAGCCTCACTTGAATCGCCAGCTTTACTAATTGACTTTTCTGCTGTTTGACACAGTGCAGCCCGCAGACTGGCGCCTCCGGCGTGACCGTGTGTATATTACTAATAAAACCGTGCTCTCCACCCAGCCTCCGTGTCTTCCCGACGGGCTCTGCAGCGCAGGCGGGAGGGGCCCGGGTGCTCAAGGCTGGACTTCCAGGCGCTGCTGGTCCCTTGACGGGTGGGCGAGGGGGTGAGAAGTCATGGTGAGGGAGGAGGTGTGGGATGTGTCTTGTTTCTGTTAACAAGAAGCCTCTTTCATCAAAGAACCTCAGTTTAAGCCATAGTTGGTTTTTTCCCCAGTGGCTTTTAGTCCCTGGGACCACAATATTCCATTCAAGGAACGTTTGTGCACCTGCTAAGTGCCAGCGCTGTGCCAGGTGCTGAGGTAGGAATGCATCAGCTATGACCCCGCTCTCAGCCGGCTCTCCCGTATAGAAAGATAACTGGTGCGCTCTGTGAGGGCAGGACTGTGGCGACGTCTGGAATCACAGAATGGAGCAGCGGCCTTTGAGGCAGGGGGTCGGGTTTGTGGGGTGGGGGTAGCATTTGAGCTCGGTCATGGTGTTTAAATGGGAGCTCAGCAAGGAGCGGGGGGCAAAGGAGGACATTCCTCTGGGAGGCGCCCTCAGGAGCAGAGGGTGGAGAGTGAGAGTGTGAGCCCCTGGAGGAAGGCAGGCACCGTGGGGGCTGCACACGGGCCGGGAGGGAGAGGGCAGGGGCGGCTCAGAGAGCGGGTGGAGTTGCGCTGGACGGCCTCGCGTCGGTGGAGGAGGGGGTCCCCTGGGAGTGTGTCACAGCTTCTCGCATGGGAGGGACAGCCAGGTTCCGGTTTTTAGGAAGAGCACTGCCCACCGGGACAGACTGAGTCAGGGTGACGAGGAGCCTGAGGCAGGCCCACAGCCCCTCTGCAGCAGGTGGCTGTGGAGTGCACCCCGCCCGCAGGTGTGCTGGTGCCACCAAGGGTGCTCATGCCCACAGGGATGGAGACGGCAGGTGGGGCAGGCGCGGAGGACCCCCAGGGGCTGGCTTCCCCAGAACTCGCCCTGGGCTGGCCCTGCTGGCAGCACCTGCACAGGCCGTGGCTGGAGCGGCTGACTGTCGCCGGCGTGAGGGTGCGGGGAGCAGCTTAGTGAGGGCTGCACAGGTGAGAGGGGGCGTCTGGGCCCACGGGATGCCCGCTCAGCAGGCAGGTGAGGCTGAGCCTGATCACCAGAGAAGGTGGGCCTGGAGTCAGTGCACAGGCACGTCTGTGGGACCCAGGGACGGCCTGGCGACAGATTGCCTACCTGGACCCACAGTTCAAAGGTGTAGGGTCAGATGACCCAGCGGTGCCTCCTTCTCCCCAATTCTATGCCCCCTGCAGTATGGGGTGGGGTGTTGGCCAGTCCCGTCACAGATAACGAAGGGTCCCCTTCTCTCATCGCTTGAAGCCGCCACATCGAAGGAGGGAGGTGCGAGGAGCTGCCCGTCGGCCTCAGATGACGGCCGTGGCTCCCTGGGCCTCGTGCCTCAGAGCGGCGCCCCGCGCACCATCGAGGGAGCATAGTCTTCTGTGCGGAGCGCTCGCCGCCCAGCGGGGTCACCCTCTCCCTGGGGCCCGGTGGCGGCTTTGTTAAGCCTGTTTGTGACAGCTCATCCTGGGCTCCTGAGCACAGGGCCCGTCCTGGTGGGCTGCGGAAGGAGGGGAGCTGCCTCTGATTTCCTTAACACTTGGCACGAGGACACTGCAGCTCCTGGCTTTGCTTCTCAAAGCCTCGCCGATGACTCGGGCATACTCATCATGCGCGCTGTAATTTTGGGAGCAGGGGACACGCAGCCTCCCCAGCATAAATCAGGAGCCCCGCTCCTTAACGGGAAGCAGGGAGGACGTTGGCATGTGTCTGTGACCCAGCAGTTTTATGACACAAACTTCATCAGTTTTATGATGCTGTTAAACATGGCTCTCGCTTCCTCCAAAGGGACAAATTAGTCAAAACATGGGATAGGAAACGCACCAGGGGCAATGACTCAGTCGAGTGGTCGGGTGGACTCGCCCCCTGACCTGGGGCTAGCTCAAGCTGGTCCTGGACGCCGAGAGGCTTGGTCTATCCTGGAACCACCCGCAGGGGTGGGGCCCGCAGAGCTGTGAGCTGGCTGTCCTTCCTGGGCGGCCTCTGACCAGGGGGGCTGCCCTGTGTCCAACCCCATCTTTATTCTGAGACTTTGACACCTGGGACCTCGCTGACCCTGGAGGGGCCAGGAGCCAGTTCCTGGAGATAGCGAAGGGTGGCCGGTGAGCCTGCCTTTCCCGTGCAACCTGGCCAGTCCAGAGTCCACGCCTGGCCCTGCTGGGGGCTCTCACACTCAGGGCCACTGTCCTGGCCTGAATCCCCCAAGGGCAGAGCCCAGACAGCGGGGCACAGCCTCTCTGCCCCAGAGCCCACTGGAATGATTGAGACTGGCCAAGGCCACACCTGCTCACCCTGCCTCACGTAGGAGGAAACGTGTGTCACTGTGGGTTTTCCTTACGTTTGCCCCTGTCCCTTTCCCCCCACTAAGGATCGGCGTTCCCAGGAAAATCCTGTGATCTGTCTGTACTGGGGCCTCAGTGGTCATGTCTTAACACCTCCCTCCATGCACAGGTGTGCCTCACAGGGGCGTGTCCCTACACTCTCTGTGTGCAGGTGTGCCTCACAGGGGTCCCTGCATAGACCTCCATGCACAGGTGTGCCTCACAGGGGCAAGTTCCTACACTCTCTGTGTACAGGTGTGCCTCACAGATGTGTCCCTACACTGTGTGCACAGGTGTGCTGCACAGGTGTGTGTCCCACGCCTCCCATGGTGCACATGGTGTGTACTGCTTCCACAAACATCATGCACGTGGCTTTTCCATCCCATCTCAGGACACATCCATCAGGAAAATCCTACCCGGTGTAGCTCTCTACCATATTATGGCTGGTTTGAACATGTGCCGTGTTCCCACCTGCCTGGGGGCCCTTTCAGGTCAGGCCCTTTGCTGCCAAGCCCAACAGTGATATTGTAACGCTAACCGTTGCATGCTGGCGTCCCTGCGCCAGGCCTGGTCTCGACATTCCCAGGCTGAGTGTCAAGTGCGTGACTCACACATCAAATGACAGGAGCCCACCGAGCCGTGAAATGTCCCGCAGCACCCCTAAGACTTTAATTGAGCTGAAATCCTCTCCTCTGTGAGTTATCTTTTCAGCAGGATAAACACTCCTGGTCTCCTCAATCATTCCTAATCAGCCATTCATCTGCTCCCTGGGGAAACATTCACGGCGCACCTGCTGTGTCCGGGCGCTGCAGACACGACAGGAAACAAGCCCGTCAGAACCCGCCTCTCCGAGGCGTCTGTCCCGAAGTGGAGGCGGGTGTTAGGCAGGTGACCTCACTAATGGCCGTGTAATTGTAATCGTGAAAAGCTGTGAAGAGTGACGTCGGCTTCCAGTTGTGACAGACGGGACTCCAGAACAATGCTCCACCGGACACAATGAGGGGAGATCCACAGGCCAGGGAGGTGGAGGTTAGAGGGGGTCATCGTGTGCTGGTTCCCACCCTCTCCGTCCTCAGGAACCCAGTGGGTCCAGGGGAAACGGGCCTCACCCACATGCTGGAACACAGTCGTTGGTACAGGGAGCGTTCGTGAAAAGCTCTGAGGCAGCTGCTTTTTGCAAGTCAGAGCTGAGAATAGAGGCTGTCACCACTGAGCTTGGCCCTGAATTCCGTGGGATAACAGGATCCTGGAGCAGGAGGGCCAAGGTGACAGCTGGCAATTTCCAGAGACAAGTGGGCCTGGTCGTTGTGATGGGATCCAAGGTCAAGGTCTTTTCACTCATCGTGGTGGTTGGACCCACAGAGATGCTCAGCGTCACTAATGATCATGGTGTCCCTAGGGCTGGAGTAGATGGGCAGCCCGCCGACGCCTTGGCCCGGCCTTCAGAGAACAAGCAGCAGACACGCTCTAGACCATGTGGTTTGAGACCGACTCAAGTCCCCACGTAGTGAGGACCCTTCCCGCTGCCGGAGGCCCTGTGTCCAGGGGCTGCTGCATCCCTTGAGGACTGATGCTGACCCGAATCTGAAATGCAGACTTCTTCCTAACTGCGCCCGAAGCTACCGAGTGGAAGGGCTGTGCACTGGGGAGAGAGAAGTTCTCACACGCTGGGGAGGTCACAGTGGGTCTGCAGCTCCTGGATGCGCAGGTGGATGGCATCCTTAGCGATGGGACGGCTGAGGAGGAAGGGCCTCCGGGAGCCTCTGAGAATCCCCTTGCCACTAAAGTAGTAAACAAAGAACCCTCGCATCCCTGGGGAACAGCAGAGAAAGTGCCACTGTCCGACACCCGAACACGCAGGTTCGCTCACAGCTCCATCCCATCCTTATTTTCCATGCGTGACAGATGGAGCGTGAACCCAGGAGGCGGTGGGTACATTCAGCTGCTCTTCCAGACATGGTGCTTTTACAGGAATGAGCCCAGCTCCCAGCGCCTGGCGTGCGGACAGCCAGGTGAGCACCCTATTCTGCACCTGCGCGTGGAGCCCACCAGGAGCGTGCAGCTTCCCCCGGGCAGCAGTGCCCCCTTATGGGTCTTCCCGGGCTTACCTAAACTCTCCCGCCGCCCCCCCTACCCCAGAGTCCCCGGGGAGGTTTGTCTCCCACAGAACATCGTGCTGCATCACGCTGATTGGGGCTGGGGAGGAGAAAACAGCAAGTTCTCTAGAAGATTTGGGAGGACACAAATGTGCTGGATCCCAAATTCTGTGTTCGTCAGGCTTGGCCAGGAAAACAGAAGCTGCTCCAGGTCTCTATGCCACACACAGAAGTTTCCTAAAGGGGTTTAGGGGCTTCCGCAGCTCCCGGGAGCGTGGGCCGGGTGAAGGCGGGGAACGCTGCCCAGCATGCCTCAGCGTTTGGCACCAAAGAGGGCAGCTCTCGGGAATGTGACCAGGAGCTGCTGCCAGCCCAGGACCCTCTTGGAAATCCCGAGTCACGGCCTCCGTCTGGAGCCGCGAAGCCTCGCCGGGCCCTCCCGGAGCCCCCTCCGCCCCTGCTCCGCCCACTGCGCGCACGAGTCACGCAGGAGC